AAAAAAAAATTATGAACAAGACTGTATTGTGTATTTAGTTTGTACCTTAAAATATTGCATAATGTTATTTCTGATCTCCCTACAGGTGAAAAGATAGATTTTCTGTCATTTTTCTGATCAGAGGCGTTTTTCTGACCAGACATGACATTCCTGTCATCTTCCTGGAACAGAAAACTAAAGTAAAAATCCAAGTGCTTAGCCTGTACCACTCTTTCTTCCCCCAGGGGCCTTTCTCTTTCCTTTTCTCCCTTTGACCAAGATCCAGGGAGGGAGTCAGGCCCCAGAAGCCCCCAGCTGAACACCGGGGCTTGGAGGTAGCGGACCTGGGCTTGAAAAGAGAGGCAAGTTTGCCCCAACCGCTGACCCGGGGAAAGTGGGAGGAGAGCCCAGAGGCTGGCAGCCGGCCGGCCGTGGGAGGGCGAGCCGGGAGAGCACCTCCCTGCCTGCCTCACCTCGAAGCACTGCCCGTCCCGTCCCTAGCCGCTAATCCGGAGCGACAAAGCAAAAATCTCACGTGTGCTCTGTCGCAACTCGAGCTCGCAGCCACAGCCCCGCGCTGCTGGGCTCCGAAGCCCGATTTCCTCGCGGCCCCCTCGGACTTCCGTCCGTCCGGGCTCGCTGCTGCAAAGCAGGGCTGAGCTCGGGCTCCGGCGCAGCAAGAGCGCCCGGGGCGCGCCCGGAGCAGGGAGACTCACCGGGGGGTCAGGTCCCAGGACCCCGCTGCCATCTTCCCGCCCGGCCCGCCGGGGCCTGGGACGGTGGCCTTGGATCCCTCGGCGTCCCTGCCTGGGTCCGCGGGGGCTGCCAGGCGGAGCAGGAAGTCGGCGTCCGCCAGCGAGGGCTGACTGGTGAGCGGGGCTCCGCCCCGGTGGGGAAAACAGAAGTGAAAGTATTTATTCAACCTCCTCCTACTGTCAGCGGCAGGGGCCAAGGCAGAGCGGTCTGGGTCCCTGCTGGGCCAGAACCCCGAGACGACTTCGCAATCTCATTCCTCGGACCCGACCTCGTCCAGCTGTCAGTAGGGTGCAGCCCAGTGGCCTTCGAAAACATGGGGAAGGAGGTTTCTATCCTCCCTCGACTGCAGCCCTTTCCCTACAGATCCCAGGAGGCTGCGGACGCCTCTTTTGCAGCGGGCAGGCAGGGTCACCGTCCCTCCGGGCTCTGTCGTGTCTCTGACTTGGGAGGGCAGAGGTGCCCGCGAGCTAAGCCTCTCTTTGGCACAGTGGCCCTCTGCTGGTGTTCTTGGGGCACAGTGACCCAGGCAGGCCTGGCACACGCTACACCAGCCTGCTCTCATGTCCCCCCTCTCTCTCCTCCCTGCACACGCGGGAAAGGAGCCCTTGGCTTTGATCTCCTTGCCTACACCTGAGCCGCAGCCTCGTCTCGGCCTGGGACCCCGCTTCCTCCGAACTTGGCTCCGGTCTGCCTACACTCCCCTCTAGTGGCCGAGAGCGGCATAGCAACCCCCGTGAGCCTGGGTTCTGCAGTAGCTGGAAGGAAACAGAAAGCAAGAAATCCTCCTCTTGCTCAGAAATTGTCTATAAATATCTTTCCATTTACAGCATAAGCTCTGTTATTTTCTTCTAATAAAGGCGAACCGATTTAAAGCGTGGGTTCTGGGGTTTAATGTTCGGCAGTCCAGTCCGAGAGGATCAGGAAGTGGCGGATGCCTGATGCCTGTTTGTCCTGCCGGGAGCCCCAGGCAGCAGCATCTCGGTCTCCAGCTCCCTGCAGGCAGAAGCCTCAAACCTGGCCCCTCATACCCCCGGCCCTGCACAGTAACCCCGAGACCCGAGGGTTCTGATCACCGTAGGTAACTCAGGGACAATCTAAAGCATCTGTGCCCCCGACACACTACAAAAACAGGTGGCACAGAATTAACTTTTAAGAGAAGACACGGTATGTGTCCCACGCAGAGATAGTGCAGAAACATCTCCGCCTATCCGCGCTTCTCACCTCTGCCCCCGTAAGCGGCCGTCACTTCCTCCAGCGTCCGGGTTCCTGCGCCTCCAGGAGGTCTCACAACTCAACGCTCTCAGTTTCATCCAGCTGCTAGTGAGCGAGAGCCGGACCTGTCGTCCTTGACCGGAGGCAGGCCCTCCACAAGCTCACCACAGTGTTACTCCGGTACTCCTGGCGGGGCCCTGTCCCGGTCCTGAGTGAACCTGCCCGGTCTGGCACAGAGAAACCGGCAGCATCTCTCTCCCCAGGATGGGGCGAAGGCTGCAGGTGTCAGAACTTCCTCAGGGAGGGCAAGGGGTGGTTCTTCCTGCTCATGGTGCACTGCGGTCCCGTGGAGCTTCTGGGCATCACAGTAGCTGTGGAAACAGTGTAGCTGGGGACAGACAAGAGAAGGGCGCACCTGGAGCCCACGGTGACCTGAAGGAACAGGAAAGCCTTTTACAGACAGCCACTCTCAACAGGGCTGCAAAACCCGCAGTGTCTGTTACTGAGAGGGGCTAACAGGAAGGGCCGGCCGGGACTGTCCTGGTCCGTGGGGCTCCCGGATTAAGCATGCGCGGTGAGAGAAGGCGAGGACTGAGCGACGTCTCAGGGGCCCCCACCCAGCACACAGAGGACATGAGCCATGAGGGGCTGCTTCCATCGGGTGGAAGGCCCAGAGCAGGGACCTCAGTGTTGCAGAATAAACGCGGTGGAAGCTGTAATGAGTCAACTCACGTTTTAGATGATAAATGTAAATCTTGTGCTTTCTGTTGTAAAAATGTACACTTACCACTGTTCTAAGTTGTTTAGTAACTAGTGGCTGTTTCTTGCTATTTGCTAGATAAAATTCCTGTGACCTTCACCAATTCCTGTCTGCAAAGTTAGCTTACAGAGATGACAAAGAAAACTAAACGGGCTTTACCTTCTTGTAACCTCTGGGCTATGCAAGGTTGCCTGCAGGTACTCAGGTGCAAATTAACCAGAAACTAAAACAAAAGCTCCAGGAAATGTAGTTTGAGTAGTGGTCACAATCGTTCTAAAAGCATTATTTTATGTCAGACAATGAATTTGTTTATCAAACTCTATGTGGTTCCAGGTTTTAAAACCCCTCTCTGCTTCCTGGGCTGCTGCCTTTTGGTCCTCTCCTGCGTGAGAGCAGACCGGGTGACCTTGAGCTCAGTAATAAATGGGTTTCCAAATTCCAACCTGGCTGATCTGGTTCCTATTCTGAGTGACCCATAACAGAGGCAAGACAGCTTCGTAGAGTTGGTGGTCCTGAGACAGGAAGTGGGTTGTCCAACTGTGGGAAGAGGCTTAATCCAATGTCCTAGCACAGAGGACTTGGTGTCCCAAGTGCTTTAGGCAAGGGCTGATGCACACATGCTGGCCACTGACTGGAGGAGCTGTGTGGAAGGGGTGGAGTCTGCCTTTAGCCCCTGGGATCTTGCTAGGAAATGTGGTGGGCTCTCCATGGGGACCTGTGCCCAGCGAGGGGGAGTCCCCAGCCTTCTTAGACCATCACTAGTATCAGCTCTGGTTTAAGGAACTTGAAGACAAAATCTGCTGTGCTCTCCGGAGCCATGTGGTCTCTGACACTGGTGTGGCAGCCCCGTGCAGTTCCCTTGCCTGGTGTGTGTTTCTTCTGGATGCAGATGCTGTGCACATGAAATGGGCAGCACAGGGACACTAGGGACCACCTGGTCAGGCTGGCCCCTTATGAGTGGCCCCTGGGCTCCACCAAGGCATCCTGGTGCCCTGCTTTGCTGAGCCTCCTATGTCTCAACTTGTAATGGGGTCTGCCAGGTGCAGGAGAGCTCCGAAGTTGCAAAAACTTCTCGGAACAGACATGTCCAGGGCCATGTAGGGTATGCATGCCACAGCCTCAGGCCCCTTCTCATAAACACATAAGAATGGTGACAGGCCCAAGAAGCTGGGACCACAGTGTCATCTTTTCCAGTGCCTCACAGGATTAGGTGGTCTCATGTTAATGAAATATTACAGACCAGAGACTCTGAATGGAAGTGTTACTGGCAGGTCTAGAGGTACCTGATTGAATAATTGTTCTGCTGTACCAGTGTCTATCTGTGTCTAGACTGGCCCGGTAGCCAATTGCCAACACCCTGTGGAATCAGAACACAGACGATCTAGTTTTAGAAAGTGATTCATGAGGCTAGGCTCAGGCTGCATAGTCTGTCTCACGAACAGCGGGCAGAGCTCAGCCCAGGTCCTGATGGATTTCTCTTTGCTGGGGGTCATCAGAGCTGGGGGAAGGTTTTACCTATAGAATTCAGATCCCTTTCTATGGATTTTTTTTTTTTCCTGTTTTCTCCAGCCCTACTTCCCAGAAAGCCTGCCTGCTGGGGATTTTCCCCAGGCTCTGCCTAGCTGGAAGAAAGCTTCCATCTATGTTTTTGGCTGCCAGAGCAACACTAGCTACCCTTGGGGCCACGCAGTGAGAAACAGGAAGCTGCTCCCTTATTGGCTGCCTCCTGAGCTTCTGGGCTTCTCCCCAAGTCCGCCCACTTTTGTTCTCTCTGCACAGGCCTCAGGCAGCTGATCTTCTGAAGCGCATCCAGCAGTTTCTAGTTGTTGTGCTGGTTGGGAGCAGGGCTTCCCGTGTCACTCCTCAGCAGACTTGCCCTGAGCCCTCTGACACCCAGCCTGATCCTTGGGGTCACTGGTGGCTCTCAATGGAGTCCCCTCCCAACCACGGAACAGAAGTGACTATGCCCAGGAGCACCGGCCGTTTGCTGGAGAAGCACAGAACTATCTGCCTGCCTACTTTTGTGTGCATGAGGGTGGATCTGTTTCAGTAAAGCAAATAACAGAACAGATATTCTGCTTGCAGGGAGGCACCGACTGTGCCAGAACTTCAGCTGAGATAATACAAACCTTTTACACGTATGAGACACTCAGAATGTTGCTGAGTAGCCTAAGAATTTTTCTTCTGTGCTAGAGGAGGAGATTGAGTGATAGTATCTGACGGCATCTTCCTTGCTAAGGTGTTTGAACACAGCCTTCTTTGTACCTCTTTTCTGCTCTGGCTTCCCTCAGGATCTAAGAAAGAAATGCTGCAGCTACCCAAAAATAAGGCCCACCCAGAAAATAATGAGCCTTGCAAACTACAGATCAAAATGCCAGCCCTGACTCTGGGTCTCTCTACAGCCTCCCAGGACTATGGATCCAGCTGAGTTACACGGAAACCATGGGGAGCCTCATCTCCCCTCCTTTCAAAAGAACGTGCATGTCTCCGTCCAGCAGGACCATGAGTGCTGGCCCCTGAGCAAGAGTGATGGTAAGTCCAGGTGAGGGGTTGTTCCCAAAAGCTCCTGTCTTCAAAGTTCAGAGCAAGAGTGGCAGCAGCTTCTAGGGACACCAGTACATTCCTTCCAAGAATAAGAACCCCACTGTGCCCCACAGTGTCACAGCAAAAGCCCACATCTCCCTGAATCCAGGTAAACACATGACAAACATGGTCTTCCTTCCTTGCCCAGAGTTGCCCAGTAGGGTAGGGTGGATGCCTTCCCTTCTAGAACAACGAACAACTCAACCTTTGCCTCCGCAGCGTATGGCTGTGGCAACACAGTCACCCTGACTAATGGACCGAAGGACCTCCCTCTCCCAGCCCCGCGTCCCCTGGCTGGCCTGGAGCTGCCCTGTGCCCCCATGACCAGCAGGGAGCCCCATCAAGAGTGCCCCAGTTGGCTCCTCATTTGGCCCAGTTTTCCTTGGCGCCCCCCAGCTGCGCCATCCCCCTTTCCAACAGCACCTGGTTCCTTTGCATAAATGCCCTCTCCCCTAGGGTACAAGAGTAAGGGACTGTCCATCAGTATGCCTGGCAACCCAGCCAGCCAGGGACTTTGGACTCGGGGGTGAGCAGTGATGAAGAATTACAACTTAAGTCCCAGTCGGTAGCTACCCATTAACATCTCACACAGAGGTCCTGTTCTTTGTGGTGCCGACTCCTGCGGTTGCTCTGGCTCCTGCCTGGATCCTGGCTGCGGGCTCAGCGCTACTGCGCTCACCCAGGATCTCATCAGTGAAGACCTTTTTCCTCTAAGGCTGAGAAACTGATCTCTCCTGATGGCCAAAAACTCTGATTGACAGGAAGTTGCCTGTGTTGGTTTCACAAGTTTATTGTTTATGTCCTGTGCATGCTCAGATGTTTTCTATAATAAATGTTAATGTGTTAATCCAAACAATAATCTAGTGAGCTGCTGCCACTACTAGGGTCTCTGTTACAGCAGTGAAGCCAGTGCCAGGGAGCGGTAAGGACCTGGCCCAAGGACACTCGGGCGGCATGTGGGGAGCCATCATGTGGGCTGACCTCAGAGTTTGCCCCTGCTGCCTCCAGTACCATTGGCTACAATGCCAGATTCGAATAAAAACCCCAATGCAATTGAGGTTTGATGAAAAGTAGAAGCTATTATTATATGCTTGACATGTAACAGTGTCCGTTGGATATTACTAGGTGACAAACACCAATGAGCACATTTTGTTAAGATGGTATATCTGTTACCTCCTGTCCCTCCAACACACACATTGTAAAGCCTAGAATTATTTCCCCAGAATTTTTTTTTTTTTTTTTTGGAACCAGGGGTTGAACTCAGGCCCTTGTTCTTGCCAGGCAAGTGCTTATTCTACAGAGCCATCTCCCCAACCCTAGAATTATTTCCAACAAACTTCGAACCACAGCTATTCTCCTTTTCTGGGGAAGCCTGCCAACCACCGTGATTCTCAGTGGTGAGAAGTACGAGGTCAGTGGTCTGGAGCTTCGGAGGGGGAGATCCCACCACATGCCTGACCATTGGGCCTTCGAAAGCTTATCTATAATGGCACATCTCTGAATCTTTGTAAGGTTTATCACTTCCGTGTTGGAGCACCGATGGCTTACTAAAGCATTCAGAATACTTTCTTCCTGTTTATCACATCCAATGACATATTGTCTTAAATGTAGTGGACCAATATAATGTGTTGCAGTGTTTAGACAGGTTATGTTGTAATTGCAGGGGAAGGCCCTTGCCCCGGGGCAAGACCTCTCCTTGCCCATGCTTTGTTATGCTGGAGCTAGCTTCCCAGGGACTGAATCTCCTGAAATCATGAACTAAATTAAATTGTGGGTGTCCCAGCAGCAGGAAAGATGACTCGTACATGTCTCCAAGTATTAGCATCAGCTCAGGCTCTGCATTCAACACTTTTGGAGGATCTACAAATGTTCCTTTCTCTGGCTTGTGGTTATTTGGATAAATGGGCATGGATCGCTTTGGAAGAAAGTGGAGGGAATCACTTCTATATGTCCATGCATTACTAAGGAATCCAGCCCTGGAAAGCGTCTGGCAATTATTCCGCCCTCCAGAGGACAGCATCATGAGCTTCTCCAGGATGCTGGTGTCCCTACCCTCTGAGGTGTGTTCTGCATCACCTCATGAAGTTTGTATTGCTGAGCATCCCCTCCCCAGGAGTCCAGTCACATCATGGATAGGTTTGTCACTTGTGGAAGATAGCACCAACTTCCCTAGGCTTTTTTCTGCAGAGTCTGCCGCAGAAGTTCTGCTATCTCTACTTCCATTTCACTTAATGGGTGAAAGCCCAAAAGAGCCTCCTAGGGGCAGATTAGAATCACTGTCATCAGTTCTTGCCAGGCTGGTTAAACTGTGGAGGGGAAGATACTCCTGTATCCACACATCCCCCTTATTCAGTTTCATATCTTACCCTTTCTCAGCTCTGGATCTGCCCTCAGAACTCTATCTCCCAGAGCCCTGCTGACGCACGTGGGCCAGTGCTGCCTCCTGCACCCTGCAGCACCACCCAGGCCCGTCCAGTTGAGCCAAACCGAGAGACCTCTGCATCATCTGCATTTAAAGGAGATGGGGGTTGGGGTGGGGTGGAGGGATTTTCTGAAAGCCCACTGGGTGCATAGCTGTGGGGTGCATCTGCCTCAGCAGCCAGTCCCATTTGGAGTCTCAGGGCCCTGATTGGCCCAAGAGATCACCTGGGCTTAGAATTTTTTTTTTTTTTTTTTTTTTTTTTTTTTTGCGGAACCGGGGATTGAACTCAGGCTCTTGCACTTGCCAGGCAAGCACTTATTCCACTGAGCCATCTCCCCGGCCCCTGGGCTTAGAATTTAGGCTTCTCTGGAGTTCTGTCATTCTTAAAATCGGAACCTGTGACAGCCACACCTTGCTGTCTGCCTTCCTGCCATAGACATGAGAGTCTCTTTGTTTTAGGCTGGTGACTGAGATATCTAAACTGGTCACTTGCTCTTATCAACACATTAGTAGTACTCAGTGCTAGTCACCAAAGACATGGTTGTTACACATAGTTACTTTTTTCTCCTCTTCTTAAATGCCAAACAATTGCTCCAGTGACTCTACCTCTTTGCCTATGGGTAAAAGTCTGGCAATGGTGCTTATAGTGCTCCAGGGAAGATCAATATTCCACCTGTCATCAGCGGCCCAGCTCAGGGTCACACCCTTAGACTTGGCTTCCTAGGGCCATTATTTCAGGATGCATTCCTTAGAAGGACAGTCAGAGATGATATCTCTTAAGTCAGTTATGTATTAAGAGTTCTATAAGGAGAAGGGGGAAAGGGAAGCAACACAACATGGCAGGAAAAGCGAAGCCCTGGCCTGACTTCACGAGAAGCAGAGAACCGTGGTTCCACCTTCAGACAGAGCCCTGGATTCCAGGGCAGGTGCTGAAGCTTCCCTGGGCTGGGTCTGGAGGTCCCCAAGGCTGTAATAAGGAACCTAGCCCACCTTATAGAGTAAATTTGCAGGCTCAGAGAAAGACGTTTTAGGATGCATCAGCAAGAACACAAGAAAGGTTCATTGGACGCAGATTTTAGGACACATGTAGGAGTGGAACATGAGTGCTCAAAGAAATGAGACTCATTATGAGTGTATTTAAGGGGGTGTCCTCAGTGTGGGTGATCTAAGATGTAATCTAGAGTGTGCCTTCAACATCGCTGATCTGGGATGTATATGCCTACTGTCAGGTTACACTTCTGACAGGTTATGTCAGAGTACAAGTCATCTACCTGTTCTTGGAGTCCAGATATGCTCCAGACCCCAGATTTACAGGCTTACTGTACCTGTAAGATCTTTAGCAATATTTGAAAGTAAGTCTACTGGAAGGGGAAAAGGCTTAAGTAACTTTTAAGTAACTTTTGTCTTTAAGCTGCAGTGAAATACATTTTAAAGTATCGGTTTCCTTGTCTCCTTTCTGCTGAAGCAGGAGACGGCAAGGGATCCTGAAGCCACTCAGACACACAGTAGGAGAAAGCACAGCTGGTTTTATTGCTCGGTGACTGGGGTCCACCGAAGAGCTGAGGAGCAGGCGCTGCTTCCACTTTCATATTCTTTCTATCCCATGGGGCAATTGTTCATTGGAAATCAACACAAAGCAAAGCTACGGAAGCAAATGCAATGACTGAAAGGCAATGATCCAGGAAGCGCAAGCTCCAGACAAGCCACTTCTAAGTCCTCTCTGCCCCCCTGACATTACCTCCCGCCTGAACTCATTCGTGGCAGGGGTCCAAGCCACCAGTCTCTTCTAAGAGCTCAGCTATGTCCACTTCCCAAAGCAACTTAAGTGCGCAGTTAAACGATAGTTGTCCAGCTTCACCCGCGAGCTGGTTTCCTCTCTCACTACAAGATTTTATTTTTTCTGTCCTAGCTCTGACATCATTGCCATATGACTCATAGAGTCCTCAGGGACAGTGGGATTAGTAGGTAACACCCAGTGCCTTTGGAGGTGGGAAGGTCTGGCCAGGAAAAAACTGTGTCAGGACATCAACCACATCTTCTTTTTTTTTTTTTATTTTTTTATTTATTTATTTGTGTGTGTGTGTGTGTGTGTGTGTGTGTGGCCAGCTCAGCCCACCAGGGGGGCGGGCCTGGCTGGCATGTGGTGCTGGGGGATTGAACTGCGGTCCCTGTGTTTTGCTAAACTTGTTCTAAGTAGGTGCTTTAGACCACTGAGCCATTCACCAGCCCCCAACCACATCTTCTACATCAGTCAACTGCTCTCATTTGTTCCCTGAATAGCAAAGATTTCCTTGAAGTTCTTCTCAAATTCAGCCTCCAGTCTAAGTCCCATTTGGCCAAACTTAGGGTCCTGAAAATAAAATAATAAAGACAAAATAATGATGTCGATTGTCAGTGTCCTCCAACACCTTGTAACTGAAAATGATCATGATGATCTCTTAGATACTATAAATTACACTAACTAGGTTTGTAGTGGTGACTGATTGTGGCAGCTTGAGAAGTTTAGAAAACTAAGTTGGCTCAGCAGTTCCATACCCAAAGGTGTATAGGACCTGCCCTAATGTGGCTATCTGAACCCTAGGATGTAGAAGACCCAGCCTAGGACATCTTGTCACCTGGAAAGTATAAAAGGGAACTGAGAAAGGATGGGTTGGCTTCTGTTCTTTGGAGGAGCACCAGTCTTCACCTTCAGCTTGGACATCGTCTCCTGGCTTCTGGCGCAGACTCTTCAGCTTCCACCTTGGATTGTTCAGCCTTCTGCAGGACTCTTCAGCCTCCTGGTGTAGGCCCATCGGCCTCCTGATACAGGCTTGCACAGAGCCCTCTAGTGAGCTCCACACCTAGAGCTGAATCCTTCAGTGTCCAGTGTGCAGACGCCCTCCTACACTTGCTTGCCCAACTCTGTGGCCGACTGTCATTAGCCCACCTTGTAATTTCTTATATTTTTTATATCTTGTGTTATATCTGTTCCTATAATAAAACACTGACTGAAACAAGGTTAAGCTTGAAAACTCACACAGCTAAGAGTAAATCCTGGACCCCACAAGCATATTTCTTTAAGTAGCATGTTCTCTGTACCAATTCAAATAGAAGATAGGAATAAGGTGAGTGTGATGCCCATTTCCTCCCTGTCACCTCTGTTCCTCTCTGGTGATCCTGATAAACTGTGTGGTCCGTGCACAGGGGAGACACCTGGAGTCTGGGATTTCTACAGCAGCACCTTAACATCGGAGACTACTTTCTGTTCAGTGGGGCTCAAGGGCAGGAGGGACTTGGCTGTTCCCCATGTACTTCTGTGGGAGGAGAAAGGAGCAAGCTCTTGGGGACTTGGGGACTTTCTGGTTGCAGTGACACCTTCTGAGCCACTGTTTCATGAGCCTTAACCTGAAAAGACCCCATTTGCTTGTAGAACATTTGCTTGTGCTAACTCGCTCCAGAATGATAAGAGAAACCAACTTTCTAGGTACCAGGAAATGAGGCAGAGAGACCCCGTGGAAAGAAACTGAAATGGGAGCAGAGACAGAAAGCTGCCTACCTTGTGGAAGTGCCTGTGGTTCTCAAAGATGAGGCGCATGTCCTGCACAAACCCTTCCACTTGCGTATAATCCTTCTTGGTTAACTTGGTCTTGATTTTGTCCAACCACATGTGTTCCTTTGAAACTTCAGAAGGCTCCTTATTCTGCCAACAAAAAGTGCCAGTGTGACACCTGCTAGCATACTCCCATGCTTGCCTTCTGCAGAGTCCCGTAGAATCCAACCAAAACAGAAAACAAAGAGCACAGATCTCACAGCCCTACTCCCAGGAGATTACGATCAATGTCACAAGTGTTCATTTTAGAGTCACTTGACTTCTAAGTGGTCTGGGATCATGTTGTTACTTACATAATAATAATATGGAATTTTGGCGAAAAAGGAGCTCTCGGAACAGCAATAGACCTTTAAGAGGAGAAACTCACATTTCTGCAAGAGAAGGGGGCTGTCAGTGAAACGTAGCTTGGAAACAAGGCACCCACATGCACAGCTAAACATAAGGCCCAACTCACACTCATCTTCTGGAAGTTTCCCCAAAGGCAGCTCTTGGGAACAAACACGTAACAGTTCGGTTGTTTTTTTCCTCGCAAATAAGTGCGCTTGTGATAGCAACATAAAGGAAGCACCCTTGGAAGGGCGGGCTCACTTTGGATACCGTTTCCCTGACCCCACGCCTGTTTGTGCCTCTTGGAAGAGAAGAGAAAGGACATGGCTCAGGGCTCCCAGGGGCTCACCAGCTGTTCCTCGGCCTGCATCGGCCTCTCCAGGATCTCAGATTCCTGGTAACGCTGCTGGACTTGGAAGGGCTCCACCCTGCAGAAGATGCAGCTCCACGGGTCCCTGAGGAGTGTGAGGTGAGGTGAGAAAGGCCAAGGCCCCTGGGGTCAGCTGCCACTGTGCTCTGTTCAGGAGTGGCAGATACGTTCAGCTGTGGGCAGGAAGGATCCCCCAGAGTCCCCAAGACTCCTACAGGGGGACCTTGAGCTGTCAGCCACCCTACCCTCACTGTCCCTCGACAGTGGAGTCATTGGGGAAAGCAGACCCTCCTTTCCCCATCAGAGGTGCAGGGCACAAGCACGAGGAGCCCACAGTAGGACCTTGGGGATGTGGGCTCTATCCGCCCACCGACATCTGGTACAGGGTGGGCACCAGTCATGCTCTCTTCTTTCCTGAATGAGTACAGAACAAAACAACCGGCATTTCTCATTCCCAAACCCTTGGACGGGAGTCCTTGCTGCAAAACTTGGCATAGCCAAAGGGCCCAGGTACCAGCCTTCACATCCCAGAGGAAATGTCTCTGGTGGCACAAAGGACATGAGCTGTCTGCTGCCAGCATCTTCAAGCTGCTTTCTGACCCATACTGCTTGATCCCAGTCCCTAACAACCCTGGGGAGTTTCCCCAAACGTGTGTGGCTCTTCAGAACAGGCATGTCTTGACTGGCTTGTTCTTTTCTTTCTGAATTGAGACATAAACAGAAACTCTCGCGGGAGTGTGCACAGTGGGGAGAAGGGTTCCTAGGAGAAGAGAGGGGTTCTCACATACCTGTTAGCTTCCACACGTGCTACGTGACAGTCCTTGTGGAAGGCTCTGGAGCAACTGTCACAGCAGAACAGTGTTCCCCCATCCCTGCACACCTCGCATTCCTCTGAGTTCCTCAGCTAGAAGACAAAAATAATATCCATATCAGCAGGCTTGGTGAGACCCCGCAAGGCTTCCACTGCAGAAAGCCAGAACTGCAGCCTTTGCGTGAGCCTGCGTGGACGTATATACTTCTCCCAGGGCGTAAGGATCACCATGGAGTAGACATTTCAGAACAAGACATCCCGGTCTGCAGGCAAGGGGGCTACAGTCAGAGTAGAAGAGTTTTCTTAGAAAACCATCGATTCTAACCCAGAAATATAAGCAACAAAAGAGAAGCATGATTTCACAGCAATATGAATAATTTTATTGTCTTGCAGAAAAAACAAGATCCTGAAATAAAGCATCAAGTCCATTTGCCTATACAACAATGATGAAATTGATTCATCCAAGGGTTTACTTAGATTTACTTAGAATTTAATATGATGGAATAAACTTCTGAGGTATTGCTGCATTCCACAGTCTGGGCCGAAGGTTCTCCATGAGTAGAAGAAAGGGTCAGAGGAAGATTTCCTAGACTGTGGGTCCTGAGCCCAGAGGGCCCTGGGCCTGTGACAGTGCCTCTTGGGCACAAATAACCAATGAGTGCAGGAAGGATGGAGCTCTTTGGCCCTGGGATCCTGTGGCAGGACCCCCATGGCTTGGCAAAATAGGCTTGTCTGGCATTGAGATGGCATCTCTGCTGTCTAGGGTGTGAAGTCACAGCAACTGCCAAGTGTTTTCTACCCTTGTTTTCTGGGCCCGTAAAAGAGCTAGAGCTTTATTTTATAAAAATAATAAAAAGGTTCCCCCAAATCATCAGACAGGAGATTTCTCCCTAGTCTCAATATGTAAGATTTTTAGCCAAATTTAATTTTCATTTGGAAAATTCAAAGTCTGACAGCATTCACACCCAAGTGTGTGTCCTATTCAATAAAAAAGAACTCAACAGAGTTTATAGAAGAAACAAAGACACCAACATACATCCACTCTTTGACATAGAAGCACTTGTGTATTCATTAAGAATGGGTTTGTGACTGAGCCAGTGGCAGTGTGAGGGGAATGTGGTGAAAGGTTGAAATCAGACTTCAGTGTTATACGCTAACTGGACATCTTGTAAAATTGGAAGGCCCCAGAATGGCTCACCCATAAATTTCCCTTCTTACTCTGTTCCTTTGGGTAAAGTCCCTAGCTAATGGTATTTCTCATCTGGGGGACCATGAGCCACTTCTACTTACCCTCAAATAGCAAGTTTCAGTTCCCTGCCAGCTACAGAGATAATCAGATGAGTCAATCACAGCCTCCTCAGAGCCAGGGTTCACCCCCCCCCCCCGCGTTGCCTCTGCTTGGTCTGTTCTCCACTGTGGTCCTGGGGTGTGTGTGGTCGCCCAGGGCTATTAGCACTTGTGACTAGTAAACTGCTGCCAGTCTCTTCTGTCCAAGTGTCAGATGTCATGTGGTTGACCATCCCCCAAACCCTGAGGTGGGAATCCTTCCCTCACCCTCAGAATTAAGAGGAATACAGGAAGCCATGTGAGTTCTCTCCCCCACCCACCCATATGCAGCATGGCCATGTAAATCAGAAAACATATTAGTGATGTATGTGCAGAACACATGCTTTCTTGATCCTCTCTTCTGCAGAAGAATAGAGACACCTTGGGAACTGAGCAGCAGCTCAACGCCCAAGTGGAAACATACTGTTGCCCCTACGGGTCACTGGAGACATCCTTTCCATTGGCCTGGGTCAGCCTCCCCCATGAATGAGGGGTGGGCAGAAGAGAAGCAAGCACTGGAAGAGCAGGAGCAGCAAGGACGACGGGGTTGACCTGTGTCTGCTGTGGACCATTCCTGACATTTCTTTCTGTTTTCTTCTTCCTCTAAACTTAATTCCATAGTTTTCTATTCTTGGTCCCAGACCACCAAAGTCACTCTTAAAACTTTAGTTGTAACTTTCTGCCCTCAGTTCCCAGTCTCTCCTCTACACACACACACACACACACACACACACACACACACACACACCTGTGCTCACCAGTAGCTCTCCCCTCTCCCTACAGAGATATGAACAGCACAGATGTACCCAGTCAAAATTTAGCTTCTCCTCCTGCCCCACCCAGAAGTCCCTGATGTGTTCTTTCTCTGGTGCTTCCATTGGCTAAAACAGGCACCAGGCACCACAAACCTCTCCTCTCTCTCAACTCCCAAAGCCAGTCCTTCCCACTCCTGTGATTATTAATTTCTTTTTTATTTACATTTTTCTTTTTAATTTATTATAACTTTTTGTGTTATCAATAATTTTATTGAGAAACAAATAGCAATGAGACAGTTTTAAATACGATTAGTAGGACAGTTTCAATAATTAATACATTGAATATTGTCTTAGTGGTTATTCATTGTACAAGATGCAGACATGATATCTTGTTTACAAACACTATTAGAACAAATCTTTCTATTCATTGAATTAAGAGAATGTAGCTGTATATCTATCCTAACTATTTTGAATATACAGATACAAAATGGTCCTTCATTTGTATCCACTTTTTTGTTTAGCTGGGTATTATATTGTCATTTAAATATTATAGATGCGTGAATTCTGCAAAATATTCCAGTATAGTCCAGTAGTCCATAGTAGTAGTGGGTTTTCCGTAAGACTGGCAATGTCAGAAGTTGTTGACTTGAGCCTTTCACAGCTCAGCATATTAATATGGCTTTACTTTTTATACCTTGTGTTTATACTTTTCTGCTGGATGGTTGAGACCAAGATAAAGCAAGACCTATATAACAAGAAATGTAACTTTTGTATCTGACAAGGTCAGTCAAATTCCCTCAGGATTAATCCTGAGATCCTATACTGCAGTTTGTAGATCCTTTGTCAGTGTCAGCCATGTGGATGAGTGACAGCCATTGCTTGGCCAATTTGCTCTCTGTGAAAGCCTGAGAGAATGTTTTCTCTCCATGTGACTCTCCTTAGGCACACACTACATCATTGATCACTTTCCTCTGTGGCCCCATAATCTCCTTGATCAGAAAATTTGGGACACAACTGAGTTGCATGATGTTATAGTACAGGTTCTCCTATGTCCTGAGTCTTCACTGACCTTGAAAGGCTAGGGTCAAAATGTTGGCTGTCTTGAAGTCCTCCTTTTTCTCTAATTTTTGTTCTGCAAACTTAGGTTGTTAACCTTCCAGAAGAGAAGCTTATTGTTATTACCCTACAACCTAGGCTGTTGAGCTTAACCTCACTATCTGTCTGAATATCAAACATCTTAGGCATAACATAGAACAGGTATTTTTCATCAAGTATTGATATGTTAAACTTTAAGTCTCTACAGAATGTGAAGAAAAAATCAAAATATATTTTAAAAAATAGGAATAAACAATTACATATTTTTACACAGAAGTTTAGAAATCTAGCCATATACAGCATTGTAGCAGAACAGTCTCACAACACTCCTTTTCCTGTCTCCTGCCTTCATTCACCACCCCCTTCCTTTTTAAACAAACATCTACCCGAGAGACAGCACAGCAGCAACCAGTGTGTCATGACAAGCAGCACATATTCAGAAGACCAGAATGACAGGCACTCCAAGCACAACCCAACTATTACACATTGCTATCTTCAGTGCAGTTGCTTAGTTCACAGGTATCAGCATATATAGTCAGAGTGAGAATCCTACCAATTAACTGCGCTTTGAAAACCTGCTGAAGATTCTCAGGATTATTGCCTTACCCATCTTGTGCACATAAATGTATGGCTTTGCCCCGGTCATGTTTCCCAGCTTTTTTCCTTGCTCTCACTTCATTGTCTAATCCTTAAGTTCTCGCTTTCCTTTTAATTGAAAAATAAGGAACGCTTCACGAATTTGCATGTCATCCTTGCGCTGGGGCCGTGCTAATCTTCTCTGTATTGTTCCAACTTTAGTATATGTGCTGCTGAAGTGAGCACTGATATTAATTTCTAAGCTCCTAGGATGAGAGTATGCAGTGTGTTAATTATTGGAACTGTCCTACCAATTTCATTTGAAGCTGTCTCATTGCTATTTGTTTCTCAAAAAAATTATGGGAAAAAAACTCAAAAAAAATTTCTAAGCACTTTTAAAAATTTACTTTGTTCCTGCACGGTCCTCTGCTTACAAAGGTGCTGAGGTCTTAAGGCATGATTCCACTTCAGTTAATTTTTTCAAAACCAGTCTGTTTCTAACAGACTGTATCTTAGCTAAGTTAATGGCATGTGAACATCAAACATGTTTTTCCTGAACCCAGTGGATTAAAGTAATTTGGAACATAGCTATGTTATTTCTGATTGTAAAAAGTAATCAGAAATGAGAAGACAATAATGAATCATCATTTTGAAAACTACTTAAACTACTTAACTTTCACTTATACTTTCAAGTGAATTGATATCTCACACGTTGCTTTTTCTTTAAAAATGCACATAGTATGGGCTCCCAGGAACTTTCACTGAAGGTTCCCACTCGTATCATAGGGGATTTTTAAGCACAACCCTGACTAGGGAATGTGATTGCTGGGCACAGGCCCATTTTTCTTCTCATCAACAGAGGCTGGTGGATGCCATCATCACTGTCTAGAAAGTCCCGAAAAAAATAAGGAAATAGCAAAGGTCACAAACGTTTAAGAATCTTGCTTCTCTAGTTTTTTACAGGATTTTTTTTTTTTAATCAGGAATTGGACTCAGGGCCCTGCACTTGCCAGGCAGGGGCTTGTACCACTGAGCTACATTCCTGGCCCTCTAATCTTTTAAATAAGAGACTTGAATCTTGGGCTTCTGCTCATTGTCCCAGATACCCGTTAGCGTCATCACCAACAGCCTCAGGCTGGGGCATAGGCCTGGGTATTCTTCTTTCAGTAGCAGAATGGGTACTTCTATGCCTCCACGTCATTCGGGACCCTAAAAGTCATAATGTGCAAGTCACTGTCCTGACTGATTGGACCGGAATTGCCCACAGAGTGGCACCAAGCAGTGGTCTTCCCCAAAGCACTTCAGGTGATTCTAGTGTGAGGCTGAATTGAGCTTTAGCCTGCAGAGCTAAGCCTGCTTACTAAGGCATGGGAAAGTGTTACTGTCAGCCTTAAAATCTGTCCCAGAAAGGTCATTGGGAGGAGAGAGGACGCCTCTCCTGGGAAGCCCCATCCTCTCCCTGCACACTCTTGGCTGTGGGCTGTGAGCCCTGACTCTATGTATTCACACCCACCCCCACAAGCTGCACACACACTGGGCTCCAGGGTTGTTCAGACTATTGAGGATTTACTCAGCGGGCCAAGGACGAACCCACGCTGGATATGATCTGACTCTTCCTGGGGGAGTTCTTGGGAGATAAGTGTATGCAAAACTACTCAGGAAAACCCCCTCTGCTGGTTACCCTACATCAGCATTCCTGTGTGACACCCTGTGGGGTCATCCCCCAGCACATGCACAGGTGACCCCGCCTAAAACGTCTACCCAATTGCCACAAGAAGAACCGAGGTTAGAGCTAGCTGTGGACGGGTGAGGAAGCCCTGGTTTTGGCACCATACTGTAAGCAGAGACGGCACAGGGCCTGAGGGACCAGAATGGAAAGTGCATGATCCAGCCCCAGCCAAGCATGTCCAGGAAAGGTGGCCCGTGGCTGGCTAAGCAGGATGGCTTGGCTCCTGTCAGACCGGCCACAGGGGTGTCATGAGACTCCACTGCCCTGTGCATCTCTCTGCAGGACTAAGGACAGGGTTCCCATCTTCAACTCACCAGCAGGGCCTCACTTGTCCTTTTGGCTGATATTTAAGACCACCTTGGGCTCTGCCACCACCTCCAGGCGGCAGATGTTGGGAGCTTTCCTATTCCAACCTCACTGTCTTCTTTAAAAGCTGCTTTCCACTCAAATTTGCAGCCTGCCCATCATCTGCAGGCCAGTTCTGTCCATGCCTGCTTCAAGCTGTCCCTAGAGACCCCAGTGCTATAGACCTCTGCCTCCCACATTCACTTTTGGGAGGAAACAAGAGTGTGCAATGTTTGCACTGAAAGAGACAGAAAGGACCTTGTCAGTGGGGAAGCCTGACCCCAGACCCTGCACCCAGCTGAGGCACGGCTGGGACTCCCTGTTCTTCACACACAGCAATGTGCTCCGCCTGAGAGTGAGATTGCTCCAGGGAAAAGCAGCAGTGACACAAGTGATGTGCATGGGCAAAGGCCTGGGCTGTTGCGATGGGTTATAACTGGGAACAAGTACTTACATAAGGGTCTGCTGGGATATTGATGGGAGGGTCCAGTGTTCTCTGTTAAAGAGAGACAAAGGTTGAGTGACAATAGTGAATGAGATATTTCATCAATCACACTTTTGATCACTTCCTTTATTTAAGGGATTTATGCCACAGCCTTCTCTGTGTTTTGTTTCACATCTGCTTTTATGAGCCTTTATATTTAATTGGAGAATAGAAACTATTAGATTATGTGCCCACGAGTTCTGCCCAGGGCAAGTTCCACTCCCCAGCCCTCAGAGCCAGGTGAATCTTCGGGAGCCCTTACAGGGAGCCTGGCCCTCCTTTCCAGGCTGAGCTAGAGAAGCTCCACCAATTCTCCTACTTGGAGGAGCCCCCAGGCAATTGTCTTTAAATTAGGAAGTGCCACCCACTGGGAGGAGCATCCCTGAGGACGCATCCTCCAGGACCACAGGGACCACAAGGTCCGGAATCGTGGAGACCTTGCCAGGGAAGAGCTCCTTGCCTAGGAACATAGCCCTGGAGATAGTGGTGCCCAAAGTCCCAGGTTAGCCTCTTCCTGAAGGCAGGCACCTTCCCATTTTGTCCTGCATTCCAGGAGCTTGCCCCACCCTCTCTATGAGTTATCCTTTGCGGTAAGAGGAGGAGGATCTGATCCTGGAGTCTGTTGTGTTGGTCTCTTTTGCACAGCATTGCCAAGCCCCTCACCAGGTGCTTAATAGTTGCCTTGCAGTTGTTGAATGGATACACAAATGCATGACAGACAAGCACAGCCATGACTCAGGAAAAGATTTCTTAGCACCCAATAGGTGACCACTGACTTCTGTATCTTCCTCGTTATTCTAGACCACCTTAGCTACCACCGGCAGGTTTAAAGGAAACCTATGAGTAGGGAATCCGGGAACAGCAGCACCTGCCACACCAGAGGCCAAGGGGCTGGGGAAGGAAGGCACTTTGGAGAGAGCCCCTGAGAACGAGGTGCTCCCACCTCTAGAGCTGTGATCCCACATGGGGCAGGAAGGAGTGCTTGAATGAAGGGAAGAGAGATGGCTGGCTCGATTATCAGTCCCTACTGTGTCACCATGCCTTCCTGGAGCTGGCTGGACATGTTTGGTCTTGATGAATGCATTAAATAATGTATCTTTCTACAGAAAACCCAGGAAACCTCATCAGTGAGGCTCTGGTCATGAATCCAGAAGAGCAGGTGGTCTCAGAAGCCAATTTTGTGAAGACCATGATGTGCAATATGGTAGAGACACTGATGGTTATGTGTGTCAGAGATGAGGGAGACAGAAGCTCTCTCCTCTCTGTCCTTCACCAGGTTCTCTCGTATCTAGCCTTAGGCCATGGAAGGCAACCGCCATCTCACCACCTTTTCTGGAGTCCACATATGGACATCACTGGCCTGTGACCTCCACAGATCACTTTCACCAAAGAAGAATTCACCTTCAGCAATGGCACTGAGGTCTAAATAGGGCCTCTTGTGGGCCTAAGAGCTCTCCCCAACAAGGAAAAGATTTCTATGTTAGCACTGTAGTCTTCAGTTTTGTGTTACTATAATAAAATGCCTGAGGCTGAGTTACTATAGAAAAGAGGTTCCTTTAACTCACAATTGTAGAAGCTGAAGGGCTCACATCTGATGATGGCCTTCTTGCTGACAGAGTCCCAACATAACACAGACAGGAGCCAGTGCAAGTGCGTCTACATCCTCTGGTTTCTCTCTCTTCTTATAAAGTCAGCCCTGGTAAATTTATCTTATCATCTCCCAATGATCCCACCCATAAACACTGCATCTGAACTAATTTCCATCCTCTAAACTCCCTACCATGGGAAATAAATTTCAACACCTGAACCCTTGGCCACACACTCACACCACATCCAAACTACAGCAGATGCCTTGAAGGGAACTTCAGCCTCTAGTCACTATGTCCTCTAGTGGGTCAAGAAAGAAACAATTCCCTGAAAAACTCCATGTGTGCATGCATGTATGTAGGGGATAAAAAATAGAAAAGATAGGGGAAGGATCTGTGTTTCATTATTCGTTTCCTTGGGTGACATCCACTGCAAGGGGGATTTCACATTAGGACATCTGCAGTGACTACAGGACTCTAGGAAAACTTTTGCACCATTCTTATTTCATTAGAGATAGAACTGAACATAAAACAATAAAAAAAAATCAGTGTTTAAGTTGAGGTTGCCAAGACCATAGTCATTAAATTGTAGTATTCCATGCACTTCAAAATTGTGCTCACTTGTCCAACTCCAATCCCATCTTTTATATTTAATTTTATGACATAGCATTCAGATCCTTTTATGAACACAAGCATATGAGGTAAGTACTAGCTGATTGTTTTTAAGAACTATTCCCACATCGATCTCCTATTTTAATGCTGGAAGAAGTCGTGGCCTTTTGTTGTGTGGGGCAGCTACAACAGCACTGTGCTACAAAATCAATTTTTATCAGGAGTGATCAATTTAAAAACTGTAAGGCTACAGAGAAGGAAAACCACCAATGTGATGTTCAGGACACTGGCAGAAGATCATGAAGTAATTACCTTTGTTCTTTTATTTGGCAGTTTTGGTAGATATCCTTTCTGAAAGAGAGAAGAAGTTAGTGATAAGACAAATCCTCATTTTTATTTTTTGACCTTGGTTTTTCACCTCAAGTGTCTTCTCAAATTCTCAAATTCAAGGTGTCAAATGAAATTCCAGATCTCAGGTCAAGATTCCACCTCAAATTTCAGGTGTCTTGATGGAGTTGACTTCCCATGCTTCCCCAGAGATTCAGGAGAGCCCTAGACTCCCTGGGCCCACGCACTGATGACTGGAGCCTCATAATTCCTGCTTTCTTCACACTATGAAAAACAGATTTTCATGCCACTGTCTCTCAGTACATACCCTGTTCCGTTCTAGACTTTTCCATGTCAGAGCTGTTGTTCTTCCTAAGAAAGCGCAAACTGCGGTATGAAGCCATTTTAACCACAGAGCTAGAAATTCCCTTCCCACTCTTGAGCTCCTCCATCCCTTCCTATCAGTGCTTATGGTTAGGGCAGTGACTTACTGCAGTCCTGTTGAATGTGTAATCTCTTCCTGTCTAAGGGATTGTGTGTCCTCACTCATGATCTTAGATGTAGCAAGTTTCCTGATTTCTATATCATTATATTTCTGTATCATTACAGTGATCCAAGGAAAGGCCATAAATGGGTGACATTTAGCACTATACCCTAAATCAAACAATACTAGTTCATACCAGGTAGTTGCTATGAGGAGTAAAGAAGTTATTTTTATTTTTTTATTTTTAATTTTTTGGTACCTGGAGTCAAACTCTGGATCCAGCACTTGCCAGGCAGGTGCTGTGCCACTGAGCTATATCCTCAGTGAAGGAGCTATTTTATTTATTTTTTATTTTTAGGCAGAACCGGGGATTGAACTCATACCCTTGTGCTTTCCAGGGAAGCACTTATTCTACTGAGCCATCTCCCCAGCCCTGAAAGAGGTATTTTAAATGCAATTTATTTATATTCATTTTCAAGAATAAATCTATAGAGGCTTAAGGTGTTGCTCTGTGGTAGAACACTTACTTGTCATGTGTGCTGGGTTCCACTGGCAGCAGCCCCCTTCACAACATTATTGAAAAATAAACTTGTGGTGGCTTATCCAAAGAATGGTCCACAAATCAAGAACTAACTCCACAGGTGTTTTCTGACATGTACTGTCAAATTGGCTCTGAAAATATAAGGACCTCCCTCCCACTCCATCTTAAATTACTCCCATGTCACCAAATTTCATAGTTAGTGGCAGAGTCAAGGCCATGATTTACTGCCTGCTTTTAAAGGGACATGAATTAATGCAACTAAAAGGATTAAGCTGTATTATGAGCTAGCCAAGGTGACATTAAAGTGTACCTTGTGACCTGAGTCAAGGGAATCAAGAAGTTTTCTGGACACAGAAATTCTGCTAAAGCTTGATGGTGAATCACGACGGTTCTAGCCTTGTTTGAAGCCACTTGGCCTTCCCATACCTCCAGCAGATCTTTCAGTTTCCAGCCGTGGCAGCGCAAGCTTAGCTTCCAGTTCTTGGAGGGTGCATAGTTTCCTTCAATTTCAAACTCCCTGGGGGTGAACCACCTTCCATCCTCACTCTGGATGCTCTTCTTCCAGATTCCTGTAAGAGCAAGACAGGCTGAGCCCCTGCCTAGGAAACACCTCCTCTTGGCCTCCTGGGCCCTGGGGCTCACGGGCTCAGGTCCATCTCAGGAGAGCGTGTGCCTCCTCTCAGACCTCAGGGACTCCACGCCCAGAGTGCAAAGCAAGGAGAGAGGGGATCCTCTGCCTTAGGTGTGTATTTGCTTGACCTTCATGCAATCAGGAGAGCAATTACTGTTGACATTATTTGTTTGAACTAATTCACAACATTAAAGTAGATAAAAATGGATGGCTCAAAATAATGAACAGAATTCTTTCTCCTCCTTTCTCCCTGCTTCAGGACAAAGCCAGCCTGGGTTTCAGAGATGCAGGTACTAAGTTCTTGTGGATCCAAATGGAGCTGTTGCACAGCCACACTTGCCTTGCCACATCATAAACGTGGCTCCTCCAGCTGAAGACAATCAATTATTTCTCATATCTTGGGATCACAGCAATTTGATGTCAGCAGTCATGATGGAAGTGTTAACTGGAGGGAAAAGTTAACTATGCAAGCAAAGAGTCCTCGAGCAAACTTGTTGGGGTCCATACCACTATAATGTGGGAGGATCAATCATGATAAATGAATAGTGGTATTGCATGATAATTTGCAAAGTATTTTACATCTGTTATCTTATTTTCCCTCATAAGAATATAAGGAGGGAAGTTTTATTATTCTAGTTTTGCACATAAGGAAGTTCAGAGTCTGAGACAGAGTGCTTTGCTGCTGGTGACATAGGCCCCAGGTGCCATAGTTTGGAAATCACTTCCCATACACTTCTTGAGGGATCACACGTAGAAAACTTAGTCCTCAACCAGCCTGGGGCCCACTAAATCCTCATTCCAACCAGCACCCAGGCCAGGTATGTGTGTGGAACTTCCTCCATCAGACAGGCTCAGTGTGGAACCCTGTGGTGGAACTTCCTGCAGATAGGCTAGAGGCAAGACCCACCCAGCTGATCCGGGAGCAGAACCTCTTGCTAGAGTGGCACAGCGGGTCCACTTCCAAGGGCTACAGCAGGAAGACCCAAGCCACACCCACCTGGACGAGTTTAAACTTGGTAGATCCAGACCTGGTGCTAAGGTAATAACTATCTAAGCTGTAGACCAAACGTCAGAAAACAGTGCTATACAAAATGACAAAGAGAAGGAGCATAATGCATTCTCAGGCCCTGAGCCCACTCAGAACAAATGCAGAAAACAATAGCATAGAAGAAATTGGAAAGCACACACCTGGAATCTCTGAAATAATAGCGTCTGATGTAAAGAAACAACTGCAGAAAGATATAGAGGAAATCAGATCAGAAATAATTTCTGAAGTAAAAAAAGAAATGATAGCTATAATGAAAGAAGTACTCAGTGCTTCTAAAGAAGACATTGATTAGAAAAAAGAGGAGGATAGAAAAGTGATAGGAAAGACATGTAATGCATGAAGCAGATTCAAAGTGATGTAGAGGAAATTAAAATCTCAATCACAAGCCGGCAAAACTGTTTGAATGAAAGCGAAAATAGACTTTCAGACTTTGAAGACACTGTTGCAGCTAGTGAAAAGGTAAGAAAAGATCTCTTAAAAACAACTAGGATGCAGAAAAAATTCAATATCTGCAAGACAATGCAAAGATGAACAATGTAAAACTAATAGGCATCAATGAGAAAGGATTCAATACAAATGATGTAAAAAGAATATGGGAAGAGGTAATAGCAGAAAACTTACCAAATATGGGGAAACAATCTGACATTCAGTAACTGAAGCATATAAGACTCCAAATAACATCAGCCCAATTAAAATCACACCCAGACATATAATAATCGAGATCCCAGAAATTCAGCACAGGAACAGCATACTAAAAGCTGCTAGAGAAAAGCAACAGATAACTTTTAAAGGAAAACCCATCAGAATAATAACAGATTTTTCTTCACAAACCATCAAGTTGGGGCTGGGGAGATGGTTCAGTAGAATAAGTGCTTACCTGGCAAGCACAAGGGCCTGAGTTCAATGCCCCGTTTCACAAAAAAAAAAAAAAAAATCAAGTTAAGAGGAGCATGGAGCAAAGTACTACAAGTATTGCAAGAAAACAAATTCCAACCAAGACTGATGCAAACTGAAAAACTCTCTTTCAAGTTTGACAAAGAAGTGAAATACTTCCATGACAAAGAATAACTAAAGAATTTTATGATGACTAAGCCAACCCTATACAGACTACTAAAAGATACTCTAGAGAGGGATCAAAATGACCACAACTCCATGAGTGAGAATGAAAAGAACCCACCAAATAAGGCAAACAATTAAACACAGGAGAAAAAGAGGTGTACAACAGCAGGTAAATAACATGTCAAACAGAAGTCAGTACATCTCAATTATAACCATCAATGTAAATGGACTCAGTTCACCAATTAGAAGAAATAGACTGGCAGAGTGGATTAGGAAGCAAAATCCAACAATATGCTGTACAACACTTCATCTATCAATTGATTGGTTTATCTTCAAAGTTTTGTCCAGCTGGTAATTTCAATAGTTCTATGATTTGTGCCTCAGGAACACAATTGTTTTCATGAATCATAAATAATGCTTTGTTCTGGCTTTATGGTTTATTGACTTAGAAATAAGTTTTCTGCAAGATTAGAAGTCAGTGTAGATGCTGCTGAAGTCCTTATTAATTTGAATGTGGGGAAATTAGAGAAATCATGTACTAAAAAAAGGTATTTTATATTATACATCTTAGTTTTGGAATACGTCTATAAAATAAACATGTGTGTGCATTGTTGTCAAATTCTGTAATTATTTTAAAGAAAAAGTCATTTACATCACATCCCAATGTTAAATGATAAATTCCCTTCTAATTCTAGAGAAGTGTATAAAAAAACTAAGAAATCTTATTGGTAAATGTCACTTTTTGTGTTATGTTCTAGATATTTCTTTAAAATAGGTATTTAATTGATAGATCTTCATTTGGCCTCTGATCTGCTCCTTGATTTTGAATTTCTTTTTCTTTTTTTGTATTAGTTTTGTATCTGTATTTGTATTTTTGCACTCTTTTTTTGTTTAGGTTTGGATTTTGGTTATGTAGTTCTTACTGTTTTTAATGTGAAAATCTGTGCTCTTATATTTATCATTCTTCACTTTTCAACACTGCTGTGGCCTGAAACTTCACACTTCTTGATGTTTGTTAAATCCTGAAATCCTATGAGTAGGTTTCAGACCACTGTTCTTGATCTTGCATTTTGTGTTTTAATTTAGTGAGACTTGGTGATGTGTGTATATGCATGATAATTCTTTTTTATTCATTTTAATGAGAAAAGAAAGATAAAATAGCAATGAAACAGTTTCAAATGAGGTTAGGAGGACTGCTACAATAACTAATACATTGCATATTGTTGTCTTTGTAGTAGTTTTTCAGAGGACAAGATGCAGACATAATGTCTTGTCTAAACAATATTAGTACAAACTTTTATTCTCACTGAACTAAGAGAAAGCAGCTGCATATCTATCCTCTCTTGTGCATGTGTATATATATATATTTTTTTCCCAACAGAACGGTCTTTTATTTACACTTCTGTGAAGTTAGTGACACATGACACTAGGTTGCCTAATAACTGATAGCAAACCTTAACCAGACAGGATGTCCATCTCAGGAGTGAGGTGGCTTGTTTGCTTTAGGCACTGGGCCAAGTCCCACCCACAGATATTTGATCAATTTCCTAGCTTCATGGCTCCCAACATATCCACCTTTTTGATTTTGTTTTGTCAGAGATGGGTGTTCCACTGCAGTTAGAGAAGCAGTATGTGGAGGAGTCTTTAAAGGACCTTTTCATACTTGAAGCCAGTCTACACTTTGTAGGTACCTGAATTCAGCAAAATCTTCCAATATAGTCCAATAGTCCATAATCATAGTGAGTTATTAGCAGAACTAGCAATTGTCAGAAGTTGTTGACTTGAGCCTTTTACAGCTCAGCATATTAATATGGCATTACTTTTTATACCTCATGATTATACTTTTCTGCTGGATGGTTAAGACCAAGTTAAAGCAAGACCTATATAACTAAAAATGTAGCCTTTGTATCTGACAAGGTCAGTCACATCCCCTCAGGATTTACCCTGAAACCCTCTATAGCACCTTATACATTTTGTCAGTGATGCATGACCATCTTTACTGCTCTCTATGTCATCAATTGTATGAATTTTATGAACATAATACATTTTTTATTTTATATAAAAAATAAAAATAAGGGGAAAAAACAATGCAAGCTTTAAAAAAGAAAAGAAAACTCAGTCCCTAATGCTGTGATGTAACAGGTGACCAGTTCTTTAAGAGGAGGTGCTATGACTTAGTTCTAGAATGTTCCTTCAAAGTCTTCATGTGTTCAGAGGTGGGAATTTTGAAAAGTGATTGGATCACAAGGTGCTGTGTGCACCAGGGGGTTGACACGCTGATGGGTTAGTGGCTGAGCCAGCAGTGGGAGGAGAGGCGTGGTCAGAAGATGTGGGTCCCTGGGGGTGTGACCCAGCAGGATCACTTTTCCTTCCCAAATCTCCCTCAACTCTCTGCTTTTGGCCACCAGGAAATGAGCAGCTTCCCCTACACCTCGGAGCCAGCCCTCTGTGGACTCCAGCCTCTAAAAACTGGGAAAATGGAACTTGTGTTTCTGGGACTTGTGACCAGAAATGTGGTTCCTGCAGAGCCCCTGCTTTCCTCCCGGGAGGCTGGAATTCTTGCGTAGGCCAGGCAGAGGCGTCTATGAAGCTAACTCTGACCAAACCCCGGCTCCTGTGCTCAGGCCAGCTTCCCGGGTAGGAAACATCTCGCATGTGTTGTCCCATTCGGTTGCTGGGAAACAGGGCACCCTGGTGACTCGCTGCAACAGTGCCCTTGGCTGCTTCTGGACTTGGCCATGTTTCTTTTTTTACTTTATTATTCTTAAAATTTATTTTAGAAAGAGTATAATAACAAGATACTAGAAATGGTACACATTTAGAAGAACAAGATGAGAGGTGTTTGTACTGCACCCTGCTGTCTTCAGTATAGTTGCTCATGTTGTAGGTATCAGCATAGGGAGTTAGTCAAGGTGAAAAATTTGAACGTTAACTGCTATTTTCAAAAAAAGGATGGAAGTTAGCAGTACAATTACCTCAGCTCTCATATATATATATATATATGATTTTCCCCTTCTTTTGTTTCCTGTCTTGTCTCCTTTCTCTCCTCTTCATTGTTTATTCCTTATTTTTTTCCACTTTACTGTATCTATCTTTCAGATTTTATTTATTCTTTCAGGTTCTTACACTAGGGAGACAAGAGGACATTTGCACAAGTGGGCCTGATTTATTTCACTTTGAGTAAAGCCTCTAATTGTCCTTTGCTGACTTTCATGACATTCTTTCCATTTAGCAAAGTCTGAGGGGTGGTGACCATGGGGTGGTGACCATATCTTGAGTCCCAGCAATCCCCTGCTAGTCATTGAGCCCCAAGCTGGGCTCCGAGACCCCAACACCAGTGGCCACTGCCCCATCAGTATTCTACTTCTATGGGCACTGTGCTGCTGAAAGGCACAGGATACTGTGAAACCCACCTTGCTTAAACAGCTTCTTGATCAGAGTCCCCCTAGCGTAGCCGCAGGTCACTGGAAGTTCCGGAATACTGAAATCCACATCAGTTTTTTTGAGATATCTGAAACCTGCAAGCAAGTGGTTTTAATTCCATCTTCTAAAACTGCCCAGCCTCCCACACATACCTGGAGATCCCTCCTTTATAATGTAGAATGCATTGAATTTTCTCCATGAATTATTTACATTAAGGGTCTTTGGGCACTAACCAAATGCCCACAGACAACACCACCCTACAAGCCACACCCTTCCGCCACCTCCAGGAAAGCCTTGGCAGGATCTGGGCTCTCGCATCTGTTAGCCCAACTGTGTAGTGCATAGTGACTTTCTTTCTGATGTTTGGAAGCAAGATTTCTGGTAAATTTCTGCCTTTGAACTTAGGAAAAGGGAGAAAATAACTCAAATTGGCATCTAGTGTCCCTGTTCAAGGCACTGACTGGAAGACAGAGCAGGGTGGCTGTGGGCACCTAACCAGGCAGTGTCTGCCTCTCACTTTGGTCTCTGCTTTGTTTCTTCACCTGAGACTTCTTGGCAGCTTGTGGGAGCCCAGATGAGAAGGCTCAACCTTGCTGAAGACACAGTCTGACAAGGAAGGAAAATGTGGCAATGTGTCTGGCTTCCTTATCCAGCAGTCTGGGCAGTGGGCCCAAGGGTGGACTCAATATCTTCTGTTTATCAGCTTGGCCCTAGGAAACTATTCTGATCCCGAGAAGGCCTACAGTTAACTGGAGCAAACATTGGGCACAGGGCCAAGATTTTCTGTATATAAGGTTAAAGCAAAATAAACCCAGTTGTTGGACCAGCAGTCCAGACCTCCTGACCCTGGTTTTCTTTCTTTTCATTCCATCCTCTCTCTACCCTATCCCCCTGAAAGGGTTGGACACCCACAGTAGCTCAGGGCAGTGGCTCTAGTAGGGACTGCAAGTTTTCAGGGAGCCCCATATACCACATAAGGGACTCTGTAGATTTGATTTCACTGAAGCCAGCTTCGAAGGTTTCTTTTTGGGGGAGGTACCAGGAATCGAACTCGGGGGCCTTGGACTTGCCAGGCAGGCACTGTACCCACTGAGCTACCTTCCCAGCCCAGTTCAGAAAGCCAAGATGAACTTCCTCAGTAGCAGCTACTGCTCTTCCCCTTCCAGTCAAGACGGGGAGTGGGGGCAATCCATCAAATGCAGGCTGGAGTCTCTCTCTTGGATGGGGATAAAGGACCATCTTGGGTCCTTCCAAAGTTATTTCAGATACACACAGACTCTCAGAGCTTGGGTGGTTCTACCAGGATTGCAGGCTAATTTTACAGATGAGGAAATGAATTTTTTTAAAAAGTACAAATGCCAGGTCAAAGTTATAGTCAAAAGTAGTGTAGGAAATAGGACACAGGCATTGTGTCACTGCCTAGGACATCCTGCCACTCGCAGTCTACATTTTATACAAAGGCAAGAGAAAGGCCTGTTAAATGCCAGCATGGTGAAGGGAGTTATCACCAGTCTGTCATGTTGTTGAAATAACCAGGGTGGTGAGGATCCTAACATTTGATACTGACTTTGTGAGCCAATTTAGAAAACTAACTTGTCACTCAGAAGGCTAGAGCAAAATTTAGATGTTTAATCATGTAAACTTTACCATTTATTTTTACCTTTTTTCCCAACTCTCCTGATAAGTTTAGTGTTGACTCTGTTTATCCCTATGAAAATTGAAAAACAACATCAGTATCTCTTGTTTATAATATCACAATGCAAATAGCAATGTGTTACAAGAACACCATTTCAAGAGAACTTCTCAGGAGCCTGTCTAGTATTTAAAGAAAAATATCAAATGTCTAGGTCAGAACGGGATTTTTATTTTTTTCTGCAAAGAGCCACATAATAAATAGATAAGGTTTTGTGGTGTATAATCCCCACTGTCACTGCAGGTATACTGTGAGAACATCGGCAGATGCTACCTAAATGAAAGGATGCAACTGTGTTCCAATAAAGCTTTATTTACAAACAGTTGGCAGGCTTGATTTGCCTTATGGGCCAACTTGGCTGATCTCTGTTGACACTTAGTTATAAAGAGGCTTCTTAACAGAGATTTATCTTACATTTCTCTATTCATTTCTCCAACTCATCGCAAATAAATGTGAAATGTATTTTAGTATGTTTCTCAAGCAAATGGGTGAGAACAATAATACAATTGAACATATGTTGAGTATTTCATGTCAGGAACTACATTTAGACCTTTTCCTTTATGAATTTACTTGATCCTTAGAATGAATCTGTCCAATGGGTACTAATGTTATCCTCATTTGACACATAAGGAAATTAAGGTTTTTAAAAACACTTACACACAGATATTGAAGTTCTTTTAGAAGGAAGTAATAGAAGCTTCAGCGGCACAATCAGTTAGCGTGCATTACTTATAAGAAGGGTGTAAAAGAAGCTCTCAGCACAGACCTCATGGTGGGTTCTACCAATCAGAACCTAAACATTAAGGATTTTTTCCTACTGCAGATGGTGGAGGAAATTGCCAGGGAGTTAAAAACCAACATGATAAGAGCTACTCAAGGGGGAATTTGTAGAAATTAAGGTTCAAGGTCTAAGAGTTGTAGAGGTAAAGATAGCACAAAGACTGCCTTAAAAGACAGATTAGAAGAATGTAGGGCATCATTTATGTGTGGACTGAAGGGGTCATAAGAGAGTCAGTCCCATTGCATGTTTAGGGCTGCAGCATTCAAATGATCTGACTGTAGAAGTGGCTGCTTCCTCTTAAAGTCTGCACATAATTATGTGCCCCAGCCTGGCATCGCTGTGTGCTGATTTGGGCAGTCCAGGCTCTCAGCATAAACCTCTCCCTGTACTCAATTCTAGATGCCGTTCCTTTGAGAAGATTAGTAACAGACTAGGCTGGAAAGGAATCTTTTGTTCAATGAAGCACAAAGAAGCCTATGCTGAAAAAAATAACATTATTTAAATATAATACTGTTAAGCCAGGCACTCAGGAGGCTAAAACAGGAGGATTATTATGAGTTTGATGCCAGCCTGGACTACATAGTGAGACTCTGTCTCGAGAAAAAAATGTTGGCATTTCATGTTCATTTTAAAAAATAGAATGGAATACTATTAATAGTTGAAATGAATCATTCTGAGTAAAAGAGGTTGTCAGGATGTTTATGTGACCCTTTGGTTTCCCCAGTATTATGAATGTCTTGATATCCAAGAACACAGGAACACAACAGGAGCCCAGGGTTCCTAAGTCCTAGGCAAGTTGCTGGCCTAGCCTACTGCACAAACTTGACAGGGACTATGGGGACCAGCTCTCCCACCTGTCTTCTCCACCTTCAGGACTTAAGAGAGAGGCTGTAGTTCTTTGGGAAGGCTTTTCAGACATCTCCCTCCAGCAACGTGATAAGGCTTTGAGATATCCGTGAGGGAGATGGGCTGCTGACCCTGAAGATGGCGGAGTAAGAGAGACTGTGAGACTTGTTTTCTGAGAAGCATAAAGGTGAAGGCCATGACTAGGGCAGGATACAGTGGCCGAGTGCTGAGTGGAAAGCCAGCAAGGGAATTCATGAGGAAACATGCTTCCCAAGCCTGGGAGTGACTCTGCAGGTGGGAGCCAGACTAGGTGCTTTTGAGGGATATTCCACCCGAGGAACTGCAGAGGGTGGTGGACCTCCTACAAGGACCATTCAGTGTCTTCACTTCAAAGCACGATGGCCACTGTAACTATGGGCAGGTAGGAGAATATATTGCTTCTCCTATAAAAGTGGAAAAGAGTTATATAAATAGATAGATAGATAGATAGATAGATAGATAGATAGATAGATAATGTGGGGTATTTAGAGATTTATGATTACACATACATCATTTTAAACCTATATGTCTCTAATTTGACAAATTTGCTTATAAGTGTGAGCCCAGGTCTGACTGAATAGTGATCTGGATCCCAATGGGGCAGCCCAACGAGATATGGAGTCTTCCTGTACCCAGCTTTCTCCTGGCTGAAGAGTAGCTCATCTGTAAGCTGTGCAGGGAGGAAGGAGGTTTTACACTTAGCAGGTCTACGAGGTGGGATCAGAGGGCAGGGGCAGAGGGTCTGACTCAGTAGAAGTAGGTGAAAAGAGCTTAAAATGAACTGCAGGATGGCACACTCTTGTGCCTACTGCTTCAGCCGGCAAGCTGGGAACCATGCAAGAGGTTTAACAGGGGCTCCATATTTATATGGGAAAGGAAGCTGTCCATGGTACAGGCAACATGAAGCCATGTAAGAAGCTGAAATGGGCGTCAGATGGCAGCTGGTCTCATTCATGTTATTCCACTTTGTATGAGTGAACTGTGACAGCAAGGGTTAGTGATATTCTCTCTCTCTCTCTCTCTCTCTCTCTCTCTCTCTCTCTCTCTCTCTCTCATTTTCCCAGTTGAATGTTACTGGCTCAGCAGAGACAAAGGATGACGTGTGGGGCCCTGAGGTCAGGTCACAGACTCATCACTCAGTTGCCTGGGTAGAGTGCTACCATCTACCCCCTGATAGACCTTGGAGATGAACGAAATCTGATGCATTTTGCAACAGTTAGTATATCTACAGAAAGCAATTAGGGAAATAAACTTGTTACTAAAAGCACAAATAAAACATGAGAATTTATACGTTTATTAAATTTCTTTTTACCTTTTAACCAACCTTTTTTCCTTACAACTCTGTTACTTGGAAATTTGCATCTGCCTCCTCTTCTCCCTGAGAAAATAGAGAAATACTTAAAACACATGCTGCCATATAGTTGCAGTGTACAAAGTAGTGCTTTTTTAAACTCCGGTTTAGTGTAACTTTCAAAAGCTGTAACAAAAAGAGCACATATCCCATTTGTATGAAATGCCTAGAATAAAACAGTTAGCATAAATGAAGTTAGTGTTTATTAGGGCTAAGTGGTGGGGTGAGGCAGAAACAGCCATTAACTGCTAAGGGACACAGGGTTTTACTTCATGGGGGACAGCAATTTTCTAACATTAAATTTTGTGATGGTGACACAATGATGCGACTACACCCACAAGAAGTCCCATTTCCTTGCACACTCCAAGTGGTGAATGATATAGTTTGTGAATGACAGCTCAGTAAAGTTACTTTAAAAGTAGTTAAGGTGCCAACATTTATATTACTTGGCATCCAAAGACCCATATTACAAGAGTTCTGAGATGGATTTCATGACAGTAGACTTTTTTTTGCAAAGCTTTAGAATCTATTACCATATTCATTATGTAAAGTAATTCTCACCACTGTGTCATGAATCAGGTTTTTGTTTTAATTTTTTTTATTTTTTACATTTATTTAGTGTGTGTGTGTGTGTGTGGCCAGCTCAGCCCACCAGGGGGCGGGGCTGGCTGGCATGTGGTGCTGGGGGATTGAACCGCGGTCCCTGTGCTTTGCTAAGCTTGTTCTAAGTAGGTGCTTTAGACCACTGAGCCATCTCTCCAGCCCCATGAATCAGGTTTTATATATTGTCCTTTTTATGAGATGAGAAAAAAAATTCAGGTTTACAAAGTCCTCCTTCTCTCTTGGGAGTGGAACAGTCACTCCTCGAATGCTGAGACTGGGATTCGGGTTTCCTGATTCTAACACTTACGATCTATTTCAAACACTCTCCTCTGGCCAAGCTGGCGTCTCTTCCCTTTAATGTAAAATATGCAATATTTTCTGCCTATGGTTTGAAGTTTCTGCTCTTCTCTCTTTTTATCGTTGTTGTTCTTTGTTTTGGGGGATTTTGCACCTCCATGGATATGTACATGTGGGAAGGTCATAGAATATGCATGACTTCTTACAGTCTGCAAATACCATCATAGAGATCCCATCCTCTTCCCTGGAGTCCAGAAACATCTACCTCAATTGTACTACTCAAATTTTACGAAACATAATGCTTTACCAGAGAAGTTAGGCTTCAACAAAACTCTTTTCTCCCAATCTTGTAAGTCTCACTGATTCTTACATGATGGTGAAGTATACAGCCATGGTCACTCCCTTGCCAGGAGCTGTCCAGCAAAACTTTTGTTGCAATTGGTACCCACAGATAAAGACCTGAGGCAGTACTTTAAATACCTGAGGTATTTTAAATACCTGAGGTATTTCCCCATTTAAGCAATAACTGGATGGGGTGAAGGGGAGGAGAATGATGGGACAACATAATGGGGGTGTCTGCTTCCTATCATAGAGGCCATGATCGGGAGGAGAACTGTCTTTAGTCCCAAGATGAAGTTGGAGAGACAATCAGAACTGGAGTAGACTGAGAAAAAAGGGTGACCTCATTTATCCTCTTACTTTACATAGGAGAAATCAAAGCAAAAGAAGTCAAGGGATGATGATGATGCCCCAGGACGCAGGTCTCCAACCGCCACTGCGAGCCACTCTGGCATGCAACCACTGATAGCTTACACCCTTTCCATGAAAGTAGCTGTTTCCAGTCTTAAAAAGTTATCAGTTCAATGGAGGAAGTGCTTCAGTGGTCCCCAGGCCCTTGGAGTTTGTGGTGGATTGACAACCGGTGGTCAGTTTGTAACATCCAGCTGAACTGAGTCAGCATCGTGCTGGGCATGAGGGTCCACCTGAGGGTTGTTGCTAACAAAATAAAAAGAACTGGGGAAGAAGATGAAGAGCTGTTGGGAGCTGTCAGTCCTCCCGGGTGCTGTTGGTTCTCCTGGAGAAGTTTGTCATGTTGGGTTTCCTGATGTGAATGCAGCTGTCCTCAACATCAAAGGAGCTCAGGACCTTGTTGTTCTGAGAATGGATATGGTCCACTTTGGGGGCGCTATGGTCCCTACTTTGAGCATCACTTTCTGGCTCCAAAGGGGAAGATGGTGCGAAGTTTAATCTCCTGGAGGAGCCTGTCATACTGGCTTTCCTGATGTAGACTCAGCTGTTCTCATTGTTGGAGGATGATTTGTTGTCACTGAGAATTGCTGTGGTACTTTTGGGGGTAGCTTTGGTTCTTACTTTAAGCATCATTTTCTGGCTCCAATGCTGACCCCTTAGCCTGCAAGCATAGAACCACCACTGACCTGGGGGCCTTCTCAGCATAGATCCATGACACAGGCCTGTATGAGACATTATCATAGGCTCTAGGCCTCTGGTTGGGCTTGTGGGGGGCATTGTGGTGGGCTCTAGGTCTTCAGCTGGATTCCTGCAGGACATTGTGGTGGGATCCAGGCCCTTACGTGGATTCTTTCAGTCTTTAGTGTGTGGACAGATTTCCTGCATTCTCTTTGTGTATGTCTCTTTGGGTGACTATTACAATTAATCCTCTTAATTATGTGTCCTCTATTGTTCCCCTTGCAAGCCTTGACTGCAACACAGTTCGGAATAGATGCATCTCTAAGTTTCTTGTTTCTCTCCCAGGTACAATGGCTAAACAGGCTACATTTCTCATTTTTAGTACAGCCACACCAAGCAATTATGGAAATAGGTTTATTACTGGAAACACAAAGTAGATCACTGGAAATTAGATGTCTACTTCTTAAAAGTGTACCATAGTCTTCTTTTCTTACCTTTTAATTGGACTTTTTTTGGTGCATCTCTGTCATTCTGAGTTAAGTGGATTTTAGACTTGCCTCTCCTTGTCCCTGGGAAAATGGAACAAATATGATTACAGATATTACAGAATCATTGCATTCTCTATGCATTCTAGATGAGTGATTGCATTTCATGTATTAGCGCTTCTCAAAAATTTTATTTCAATACAATTTTCAAAAGCCTGTCTAATGCATGAATAAAAAAGATATCTCCTTAAGCTATCAGGACTTGGGTGGCTAATCTCAGACTCATCTTACAGCTCATTTTCATATCCTCACTTACCAAAAAAGGTGAAGTTCGAGTTTCACTTACACCTTGAGTAGCAGTGCATGAAGTCTTAGTATTTGCCAAGCACTTGTAATCTTCTAAATTTATACTTGCAACAAATATAGGAGATCAAGGTAATTATCACCCAGTTAAAGAAAGTAAAACAGAGATAAAACTATAAAATTAAGTGAAGGCACTGAAGTTTTACTTTTGTTTTTCACTTTTTGTTTTCAGTGGCAAGAGTTAAACAGCAGTTTTATGAGTTATGAGAAAATCAATTAGGTCTTCCAAGTGAGAAACTTGACTCATATCTTGATTAAAGATATTTTTATAGCTGTACTAAAAGTGATAGTAAATGTAACTAAGGGCTTTGCTCACTTGAGTTTGGACAGAAATATTAGGACCTAAACTCTAAGCAGAAGAAGGCTAGCCAAAGAAACAGTCTTTCAAAACTTGTGTTGCAAATACTGATTAAGGATTGATTTGTTACCTGCTGCAACAGAGAATTCCCTTCCTTTTGCAAGTTAATTGGCAAATATGTTTTATTTTCTAAAGTACAATGCAAAAAAAATTTTTTTTTGTATTCAACATCCCGCCACCCAATGACTACCACTGGGCAGTGTGGGTTGGGGTTATGTAGATCCAAGATGAAATATTTTTCAAACCACTCAATCCTAAGTACTGCAAACCTCTACACATTAGGCCAACAAAAACAAACAAACAAAAACAAAATAAAACAAAGAAAAAAACTTCAGTCAAACTCAAAGTAGATTTACTGTTTGGTAATATAATCCCACTTTCAGGTTTCTAATCTCAAAACCAAAATACTTCAAGGAACAAATATGAATAAAGAACCCCCATTCTAAGATCAAGTAAGTTTCACCCTTATGAAAATATTCAACCAAAATAACATGAGCTCAAGCAAGAGTTCCAGAAGGGCTGGACAGACTAGCAGAGGAAAGTTTGGGGTGGTACATATTAATAGCAGGATGTAAGAAAACCACTGAAGCTGTGGAAATGTGGCCCTCCCAGGAGGCACATTAATCAGGCTGCTTCTTCTCACTTCCTTCCTCTGTCCAGCAGAATCACCAGGCCTGGGGAGGCCTGCCACTGGGTGTGGCTCTCCAACAGGCTCTCCTCCCCTCCTGTCACTCCAGATGCCAACAGAATTCCCAGAGACTAGGACGTGCCTCAGTGTCCCACACTCTTCCCTCCTGAGCATCCACAATCACAGTAGGAAAAAAATCTCAATGTCTTTTTGAAAAAAATTATTTATTTATTTTTAATGTATTTGGTACAAAGTCTCACTACGCAGCTCCACCTCATAGTCAAGATTCCCCTGTTTGCAGCCTTCCCAGTGCTGGGATCACAGGCAAGCGCTACCATGCCTGTTCTCAGTGGCTGGATCAGCACCCCCAGGGGCAGGGGCAGTGCGGCTGGTGGTGCCAGGATGAAACCCCAGGTCCCTGCACCGGCCTACGCAGGCACTTGGTCTGCTAAGCTCTCTCGCCAGCCCAGATGGCTTACTCTTGCTGCTCTTTCCCTTCCTACACTTAAGCCAAGCTGATACTTAAGCTCTGGCCATCACCTGCACAGTCAGTAAATGCAGAATTCTTGCTGTCTTTCTCTTTAATTCCACTTGGTTGTAGCTTTTCTGAGACTGGTGGGATATTGGACTTACCTTCTATTAAACCTGTTTAGGCCAAATATTATTAGGGAGGAAAAGGAAAGACCTTGGCCCTTTCTCCAGCCCTTGGAGCCTTTGGCAGCAGGAGATGTGAAGCTAATTTCCAACATCGCTCTCCATGTTTTATCCCCAACGTGGTGTGGCTGGGCAAGATAACATTCAGCTACTGCTGTGTTCCCAACTCTAGTACTCACTTCATAACATGGAACCTCTCATAAATATTACAGTGCTTGGGATTTAATTTAAAGTTATCTTTAAAAAATTGTAGCCCAGTGAGATGGCTCAGTAGAATAAGTGCTTGCCTGGCAAGCTCAAGGGCCTGAGTTCAATCTCCGGTTCCACCAAAAAAAAAAAAAAAAAAAAAAAATTGTTATGGTCAGTATTAAACTTTAGAAGTAAGCATCACAGAGTTGTCAATTTCCTCCTTTCAAAATCTCAGTAGAAGCCCCAACAATTGGGAACAATTCAATAAATGCCAGTTGGCATATGTAGATGACATATCTGATTTCTTTTTACAACTCTCCTTCCTTTCTCCATCTCCCCTTCCTTTCTCTATCTCCTTTGTCCATCTCTTAACTCCTTTCCACTTACCAAAGATCTATCTCCTTGTGTAGGAGGATATTTTTAAAAACAGTAATTGTGGCTGTCTCTAGCTGGTATTTTCATACAACTTTATTTCCTGAATTTTTGTAGTATCTATATCTATATTAAAGTGTGATGTCTAAATCTTATGTTAGTAATGATCAAAGAAATTTCTTCATACTAAAAAATGAATGGTAAACCTCATGGTTGTCTATCTTCTTTCTTTTCTTTTGGCACCAGGAATTGAACTCAGGACCTTGTGCTTGCCAGCAGGAGCTTGTGCCACTGAGCTATACCCCTGGCGCATGATTATCTATTTTTAAGTCACTATGAACTACCCACAATGAGTGTACTCATGATGTGCCACAAACATGCTGATAAAAAAGTCTTTTTAAGCTTCTTTTTCTGTGATAGTTTTTAGATTTTCACACCAAAGTGGCACATGTTCAATATTTTCAGCATATACACATGCATTTAGAAGCTATGTATGTGAAAATAAATTTCACTTCGATTCAAATGACCAAATGTAACCAATGCATATATTTTCATGGATGAACTGCCATAGATTTTTTGGTACATCCATGTTTATTTTCTGTATAGGTAGGTAGATACTTATGCACATATCTAGACTTAGAGGTATATAAATAGATACTTTAAGAAATATAAAAATGTTTATACATATCCATTATTTTACAACATATACACACAGAGTCTGTTTTCTTCATTTAACCTTCTTTGGAATGTTTCCACATAATAACTTATGAGCTACAAAGAAAAGCTTCGCACCAAAGGTGGCAACACTTCTCCATTAACTCTGGGCCAGCATTGTACGTATAAAATAAATAAACCATTTTTGCAAAGCCACTGCATTTTTAGAGCCCTGTGTTACAACATCTTAACCTGTGCTCTGACTAACACAGTGGCCACAAGAGCACTCCACCTCGGAGGAACATGATCCCGGAGCCTATGACCTGCAGTGCCCTCTGATCTCACTGGTGAAGGCTGCACCATTGTGTTATGTTTCTCTTGTTGCTGAGACAAAATACCCAATGCCCAAAATTAAGAAAGGAAAGGTTTATTTAGCTCAGTCTGTGGAGGCTTCAGTCCATACTCGGCTGGCTCCAAGGCAGGGTGGAGTGGCGGGGGGTCCACCATTCAGGGTGGCAGAAGAAAGCAAAAGCAACAAGAGATAAAAAGGGAAAGCAAGCCTCTTTTCCTCCCTTATATGTAAGTAGGCTGCCTGCCCTAGGACAAGGCAGTACTCACACCATCTCCAGGCCCACACTGCTGAGTTGCTTAGTTAAACTTCTAAGCCTCAGCCGTGTGCCATTCTGCATTCCCTGCTCTGCTGCTTCTACCTCACTGCCTTCTGCTTCAGAAGGAATTGAAGTCCACAGACACCATGAGGAACCTACTGGGTCACGCTGCCAGGCTCAGTCCCATAAAGGTGGAGTTGAACTCTGTTCCTCAAGAGCTGCATGTTCCCAGCCATGGTGTCCAAAAGCAATTAAGGAACCAGGCTCAAGGAAACCTCAGAAGGATCATGAAGCTACTCAGTCATCCAGGGACAGTCTGCATCTGTACTTTTCACTGGGAACTCTGTTGCAGCCAGAAGTTTATAAAATTCACCCTACTCCATGCACTGCCTATATCACCATCCAGTGGAATGTGTGCATCATGTACTTCCTTTTAGGACTCAGGAGCACAAAGCCCTTCTTTCACTGTGAGTGACGTAAGACAGATTGTCTAGCATCCAGCAAATGTGGACTATCACTGACTTGAGACTGGCATTGCCCTTTGTGGAATTGAGGTCTAGGCAAAAAGAGAAATGTGGGTTGTTAAACATCAACACATGCTACAGATGAATATTGAATGATTATGATAAATGATTAACATTACAGATATTTTTATGTGAAAAAAGAAAACAACTTCTAAGCCTCTGAAGTTGACACAAAGTATCAAGTGTTACAACACCCCAGGGTGTAAACAGTCACCCTAGGGCATGTCCTCTGCACCCTAAGATGTAGTGCTACTGACTCACTTAAGCTTCTCAACTTCTCAAGTTGATACAATGTATCAGCCATTACAGCCATATTGTCCACTTACATTTTTGATGTATGTTTTGTGGTCTTTTCTTTTTCATTCTTGACCAGTTGTGTCCTCTCTTTTTTCCTTCAAAGAGAATGAAATCAATCAGTCAGAGTGATACAGAGAAGTCTCTAAGTCTTGTATGTTAGCAGCATGCAAATATTTCCAGCTTTGGTCCATAGGAATGGAACAGCTCAAGGTTCTTTTCCCTGCCTGCCCAGCGATCAGCCCTGAGGTATTCTTGGGGCTGTTCTGGTGCTGAATGATGCTGACCCTACTTCAGATTGTGGATCAGCTGATTCTGGCCACAGGGCTGTGACCTGGGACACTCACTGTGTCATGAGCTTGGCTGTCTGCTAATGATGCACTCTCTACCTAACAAGTTACTCAAAACCTGTGCTGATTGCTTGGCTCTGCAGCCCTCATCTTCTGCTGCCAAACACCTCAGGACCCACACCTTCCTGGATAACCATCAGGACAAAGTGGAGTGATGTACAAACCTATTTTGAAAATTCAAGCTTCTCTTCTGACCATTCCTGGGGATAGTACCTTGTTCTTTCCCCTGTCAACCTAGTAGACACAGCCTTTAGAGCACCCGGGGAGGGGTTGATTTTACTTCAGTTAATATTTTATAAAAATTCTGTTTCCTTACTAATCTTTATGAGTGAGAAAAAGAGATGACTGGGGGGCGGGAAATGAAGTTACAGTCACTGGTGTGCCGCACACAGATTTTGTGACACTGAAGCATAAGAATCCAGGCATCAGAGGGGGACACAGCCCAAACCCTAGGAGGTGTGGGAAAAAGAGGAACATTAGTGATATCGGTCTTTCCGAATTGCCCTGAACCTAGTCCAGAAGGAAAGACCCTTGTATGGCTCTGCTACCACTGAGCATGCTGAGACAACACCACTTGGGTGGTATCGCAGGGAAGATTGGCCAGACTGGCTTCAATCAGTACCCATTCCTCATGGAAGGACTAGAGCCAGGGAGGGAGCTGGGAGCTTGGGCTTACAACCAGCCAAAGCCACACAGCAAGCATCACCCACCTCGCCTTGGTCTAAAGCTGGTGTGCCCTGAGGAACCTGACAACTGGAATGCCTCTTTCCCAGAGATACCAGCTATGCCCCTGGGATTGGGCTTCCTGTGTGAAAGCCAGGCACTAACTTGCCTTGCAACATCAAAAGCAAATATATTCTCAGTCATTCTTACTTCTTTTCCTCTTGGGTTTTCCTGAAGTAGAACAGGTTCCAGTATCTGAAGTACCTAGAAAATAACAAGTGGACATGAGGAGATGGGAATTAATAAGTGAAGGCTACAAATCTTATGACAGTGTCATAGGAGACCTCAGGGTATAGGGCTTAAAGCTTGGATGATCATTCCTTTATTCCTTTTACAGGAGCCCAAAAACCTACTGAACTGGAATCAGGAGTTCTGGATGGGCCATGAGTCGTTTTATTTTCTCAATGGAACTTTGAGAGACACTTTTCATTATCTATGTACTTCACTTTCATGGTGATAGAACTGTCCTATCCCGTTTAGGTGTTAAGATCTTTGTATGGGTTAAATGATACTTTATGTGCAAAATATTATATGAAATCCTTATGTAAGTCATGCCAGAGGATTTCAGTCACAAACATTACTAAGTTAGCATTAGTTGATCTGAAGTCTTTCCTCCTGAAAAATAAGTAGTAGGACCAGGTTTCAGTTGGCAGAAATCTTTCTAAAGTTGTGCCAAGGAGACTCTATTCACTAGCAGAACAGCATGTTGTTTTCTTGAGTTCTTGGAAAGACTGGGTATAAATTAATGTACCGATTTGTCAAAGAAGGTATAGCTGGGGGTTGCACTCACTGAGCTAAATCTCCAGATCCTTTTTATTCTGACATAGAGTCTTACTAAGTCACTAAATTGCCCAGGCCAGTCTCTAACTGTGTTCCTCCCACCTGCACCACTATGCCCAGCTACTCGATTTTAAAAACTTATTTGTACTACACCATCTGTACATAACCAACAGAGCCCACCCATCCCATTAAACATGGCTGTAGAAAGATTTCTTGCATCCCTGCATTTCCCAAAAGACTCATGTCAAATAAATGCAGAAAAGGATTCTGGGATTTCTGCACCACCTGCCACTACTTAGCCTGAGATCTATGGTACCCACACCATCCTCAAATACCACCATGCGCATCCTTACCCGACAGGTCACATGCTTGGCTACTGTTTGTTATTGCTGCCCAATCTTCTGGAAGTTTTGGGCAACACATGACACAGAAACACTTCTCAGTTTCACGTCCCGATTGCTCTGCTCCTGGGTCAAAATTGTGATTTTTATGAAGACTTTTCATCTGCTTTGGTGACCCTCTTTTCTATACCCTTGTTAGACCCCCTTCATTTCTACCTCTGCAATCTTCTCCTTTCACTGTTCCTCCCATAGCTGGTTCCTCTCATCACTCTCTCTTTGTCTCAGTTACTTTTCTCTCATTGCTGGGATAAAATACCCAACAGCCAAAATTAAGGAAGAAAAGGTTTATTTAGCTCACAGTTAGTAGAGTTTTCCAACCATATTCAGCTGGCTCCAAAGCAAAGTGGCACATGGCAGAGGGCAGCCATTCATGGCAGTGGAAGACAGCAATGAGCAAAGGGAAGAGCAGCAGCTGCAGCAGCTAGCAAGCTTCTCTCCCTCCCTTACATTGTATTCAGGCTGTCCACCTCCGCGTGGGCATAGCACTCATACCCATAATCCTGGCATTAGATCATGAATTAATCACAAACTGCCTGATGACTGCATGAGGCTTTGGGGGCACAACTAAGCACAAAGCATAACACTCCTTTTTTCCTTTCCTGTCTTTTATTCTTTTTTTTTTTTTTCGGAAACCGGGGATTGAACTCAGATCCTTGCATTTGCCAATCACGCGCTTATCCTACTGAGCCATCTCCCCAGCCGCCTGTCTTTTATTCTTTATCAGAACTTTTGTTCTTCAGTGTTGTTACAATTACCTTGACTATTTGGGGGTAGTGGACTAGAATTAAGCTCTTCAGATTCTTCTTCATTCATGTGGTAGTCTTGTAGTTCATCAGATTCTAATGAAAATCAGAAAATTATTGTCCACAGATCCTGCAAATGGCAGCCATAGAAGAGTCTTATCATCTCTCCCGCCCACCACCATGCTGCACGTCGACCTTACAGAGCTAAGACAGCTCCAACTCCAACAGTCATACCTGAGATCTAACAGAGTCATGCTCTTCCTATTTTGCACCTCATTCCCTACTTTAATTCTTCTACTTGTAGCCCTAAGAATAAAACTAAAGTATTTATCTTCCAGGAGGAAAATATCATTCTCTGGAAATAATAAAAAAAGTCAGTCTTCCTGGTCCAAAGCCAAGTGAATTGTTCTCAACATCAATGTGATCTCTAGCTTGTTTCATGAAAGCCTTATTTCTGAATTTATCTTAATGATGAGTGTGCAATTAGACATAGAGTAGCTAGATATTATGGTTCGGAGTACAGCAGTTAGCAAATATTCTTTCCACTTAAGTGCATATTTTTTCCACTACTTCATGCACTCTCACTTTTCTTTTGTATATTTTTAAAAGTCTTGTTTTCTGTTTGTTTCTGACTTTCCTGCCCTTTTTGAGTATTAGATGATGGTGAGCCCAAGCAAACAGATGAAGACTAAGGTCTGATGAGTCCCCATCAAGTTAGTGCCCAAAACTAGTGGGTATAGGTCCATTGGACAACAGCAAATTATGCCAAGATGTTTGGTCACATATTGTCATGGGTCCCTTGCCAAAACATGAAGGCATTTGGCGTCTCATCAATTTGTAAGTCGGTTTGCTTTGTCCGTGATCTGGAGCCAACTCATGTAATTGACCATTGGTTGCCTCTGCAGGCACTGCTTGGCTAGTGAGCCCAGTACTCCATGCGTGCACGGACAGCACACTTGTATTTCAGTCACACATGTAGCCAAATGCAGAGTCTCTTTGGTGTTTATTATGGGATTGGCCTTGTCAAGGCCACAATCTCTTCTTTGGAGACTTATACTTTCCCTGTATACTCTACAATTCTAATTCTAGCACTGAATAACTGGAAAAATTTTACTGGCAAAATTTTACTGGCAAAATGATGGCTTTGAGTAACAGGAGGGTATTTTGACATATCAAAAGTAACACAATTGATAAGTATCCCTGTAAATGAAGGAGAAATCTCCAGATGTTCCCGTATCCCACTAGTAAATGTTACTTTTAGACCACTATCTGAGGGAGATTTTTTTTAATGATACATCTATAAATGTACTAGGTCGTGTTTCTATTTTGCTAATGGAAGTACTGGGTTAAATATATGGAAGCACTAACTTTTTAAATTCTTCCAGGTTATTCTAGATGCAATCAATTTATAGTTGATTTGAACTTTGATATATCTGCATTATGCATGAGTCAAGATCAGCAGACAATAAAAAGGATAGCTATAGGTGTACATCACTTCTCTGTAGCACCTAATCCAATTACAGTATTCTCATCATGTTCACCTAACATTCTTTCCTTTAATGTACTTATGGGAACTGGTGAGATGGCTCAGTGGTCTAAAGCACCTACTTAGAACAAGCTTAGCAAAGCAGAGGGACCGCAGTTCAATCCCCCAGCACCACATGCCAGCCCGCCCCGCCCCCTGGTGGGCTGAGCTGGCCACACACACACACACACACACACACACACACACATAAATAAAAATTAAAAAAAAAAAAACAAGGTGGGAAAAAAAAACAAAGTGGGCAACTTTAATGTACTTATGTTCTGTTTTTGTTTCATGTTCATTTTATATTAGTTGCTTGAGACAATCAATGGTTCATCTAGGCAATATTTTCTATGGATTTTGCTAAGTCTTATTGTGGTTGGCAGAATTTGCAGATGGTTCCTGAAGATTTTCTTCCCTAATCCTGGAAACTATGAACATCAAGAGACATTATGCTTATGCTTAGGTTAGGTTATATGGCACAGTTGATCTTTAAAAAAAGGAGATCATTATTGTGGACCTGGTATAATCAATCACACAGGCACCTTAAAGGTAAATAACTTTTCTAGCTCCCAGCAGAAGAGGAGATCAGAATTCAAAATGTGAGAAGATTCCACACACTTGCTTCTATCATCTCCCAAGGACTGATCAAGATCTAAGGGATATGAAATTCATATATGCATCCTTTCTAATACAGTACAAGGAATGAGTGGCTTCTGGGAGCCAAGAGTGACCACTTGCCAATAACTAGCAATCAATAAGCCTGTGACCTCAGCCACACTGAGCTGGATTCTGTCAACAACCTGGACAAGTTTGGTTGCACAACTTTCAGATAAGGGCTCAGCCTGGCTGATATGGTAGTTTCAGCCTTGTAGAACTTGGAGCAGAGTATTAAACTGAGCCTGACCAGAGTCTGACCTGTGAAAGGAACTGTGATAAGAAAGGGGTAGAGAGTTGAACATTGTCTTTGTGGTAATTGTTAGCTGGCAATGAGAAAAAACAAAGACAACTGTCATCTCCCAAGATTTGAGCAAGATCTAAGGGATATAAAATTCATATATGCATCCTTTCTAACCCAGTACATGCCTTACTTCTCTTCTACTCTATAGGCCTGGATACCTTGTAATCTAGGTATTGATCTGGCCAATCAAAGACATGAACTTTGTATGAAAAAAAATCTACATTTTGTAAAAGAAAAAGGGGGAGGGATCTATTTTCTCAGCCATACTTTATTGGCCTAAGGAAGGATATTCTACGTAAAGAAATGTTACAAAGTTTCCAGAATTACCCAAAACTAGCAACTAAAAGAGAGCTTTCAGGATAAATTGTCTTAAAGTCAATGGGGTCAATCTTTTCAGAATTATCAGGGCTCCTTACACTTGATTATATTCAACATTTTAGAGCCCCTACATGGTCATAAATATTTTATTTTGGTTGAACATAAGGGTAGACCATTCTTTAGAGGCATTGGTTCAAAACACGACTGAAATCAAAGATCCCGTGCTAGTAGCCATAGCATATCTAGGTGGCCCAAAGCAGCTGCAGGTGACTGTTCATGCAGGCTTCTCAGGGTTTTGTACTTGAGATAGCTCTAGATGGTGCTGCAAGCTGTACCAATCTATTGCTAGTTGAAAGCGTGCAACCATTTGCTGACATTTTATTGATGAATCATTAAACATCATTACTGCTTCCATAGTCTTCTACAGATATAACACTCATCTAACAACTGTCTAACTTTTACTCAATGCAGTGTCTTAGAATTTACTTCCAGTATCCTTTTCCAGAAAAGACAGAGTGTGGACAAACTGGACGGTCCTTCCTGCACCATTGCATAAGAGACTTCCTAAAAAGGAAACTGAGAATTAAAGTTCCTCTGCTCTTAGGAAAATTCACGATTCTTCGGCTACATTAAAAAAGAAACAACACAGTCACCCAGTTAATCAATGATAGCTTCAACTAGGGCACAGTCCTCTGAAAGGCGCCACCAACCACTCACATCTCCGCTTCAGCCTGCCAGCCAGTCAGCAGGCACCACGCTCTGGTTGTTCTGCTGTCCCAGCTAAAGGTCAGCCGGCTCCAATACGAGCCCGCTCCCTCCCCGCAATGTGAGCGTCTGTTCAGAGAATCTGTGACCCTCCCACCCCAAGTACAGCTGGTTTTTTATTTTAAACAGAATGAATTCAGTCTTCTGTTTCATACTGAGAAGCGGCCTCTTCCGCTCATCGTCCACACCCGCTCTCCTTCACTCTGTGGGCTTTCTCCCTCTGGCATTTCCTGTCTCCCTAAATATCTGTGTTTTTCTCCTCCGGAGATGCACTGTGCATTGTTCACCTGTTCTAGCTCTATTTTTCTGGTTACCTCCTACCCACACTGTAGCTGGTCCTCACCTGTCTCCTAACTCCTGATGTTTTTCTCCTCTCTCCTATGCATTCTTCATCTGCTAAGCAAAATCTGGTCCATTGAACCATGGAAGAAGCCTCAGGGTTTCCACCTTGGATTTAGACTATTGACTCAGCCCTAAATCATGGCAGCAGCTGGGCGTGGTAGTGCATGCCTATAATCCCAGAAGTCCAGAGGCTGAGGCAGGAGGAATGCTGTGAGTTCAAGGCCAGCCTGGGCTACATAAGCAAGTTGAAGGCCAGCCTGTGTTACATAACAAGATCCTATCTCAAAACAGAACAGAACAAAACAAAACAAAAGATAGCAGCATCAGAGACCTAGAGGTCCACATGGCACCATCCAGGAACCTAATCTTTGCTCTTCCTATTCTTGGGGCTTATAACACACCTATATCTTACACTGTCTTGTGTCTCTAGCATCCTAAAACATTCACAGCAATTTGCCTATTGAAGTCTTAAGGCTTTTTTTTTTTTTACCTTGATATTTTTTTTTTCTTTTCAAAGTTTTATTGATAAACATATAGCAATGAGACAGTTTCAAATCAAATTGAAAGTACAGTTTCAACAAATAATACACTGCATATATTCTTCTTAGTGGTTAATTGCTGTACAAGATGCAGACT